GAGCTGGTAGCACAGTGTTGGTGTGAATGTACTTATATGTTTATAATCTTTTTCTTGGCGGTCATACTTATGTTTGAGTGTCCTGATAGAGGCATCAGTTGGTCATTGGCTTCTGGTTTCTGTTTCCTGATAAACATATCTTCATATATCAGGACATGTTTACTGAAATGGAGGCATTGTTTAGGGCCCACATAGAGGATTTCATCAAAAGTTAGGGCAAAGAGAAAGGAGAAATGCATTTCCTTGTGGTGTCATTGACTAGAAAGGGACAAACGTTAGTACTCATTTTATGGTATGTGTCTCGACTCCTTCATACTAAAATCCAAAAATGTTTAACTCCTTCCACCTACTCCCTCCTCCCAACACATTTCACCAACCTATGTTGACTTTTGAAAAAGAAGAATGTATCTGTAAAATGTATAACTTTTCTGACACTGCTATTTTGAAACCTTACTTAGATATGTGACTTTTTCTGTGCTGTCTTGTAACTTTACTAACATTTTATTTGTGCTGTTTTTTTTAACTTTACTAGGATATGTGACTGCACCTGTGCTGTTTTGTAACTTTGCTGAGATCTGTGACGTTCTGTGTTTTGTCTTGTAACATTGCTGAGACTGTTAAAGTAAATTTAAGGACCAAATCACGCCAGTGGCACATCAGGCATATGATGCTAGGCACGTTTAGTCAACATCAGGCGGACTTTGCTCTTCACCGGTACTGTGACTTTCTGTATGTTGTTTTGTATGATGCTAAGTGGATCGATCAACATCAAGCTGACTGTATCTGCTCAGTAACCGTACTGTGACTTTCTATATGCTGTTTTGTATGATGCTAGGCGGATCGATCAACATCAAGCTGACTGTATCTGCTCAGTAATGGTACTGTGACTTTCTATATGCTGTTTTGTAACTTTAGTAAAACCTGTGACTCTGTGCTATGCTGTTTTGTAATCCAAAGTCAGTGCTGGAGGCATTGTCATTTAATATTGGACCAAATTTAATTGTTCAGATGCGTTCTGATGGATTCAGTTGTCGTTAGGCGATTGATTATAATCAATTAAACATGTAGGTAACTAATACAGCTTCTGTAGTCTTTGATTGTCTTTGTTTTGATGAATTCTTGTTTTTATTATGTTTGTTTCTGCATGTATTACAGGGCGGAACAGAAAACAACCCACACACTAACAGTTGCAGACAAAAAAGTGTCATGCTTAAGAATATCTAGATGGCAAACTCTGGCTGGAATTGATTGACAGCATCTAGAAGTCCTCAGGTAAGATACCTACCAGGACGCACCATGGTAAAGAGAAATGGAAGAGCCGACAGACTGGCTGTGACTGCAGAAGTTGGTAGAGGAAGAAACACAGGCTGAATGTGCTGGGTTCCAGAGATGTTGAGACAGGTGAGCCAGAGGCAATGAACCACCAGGTGGAAATGAGTACTAAATGAGGAGCAAAGAAAGAAGATATACCAGTCAATTCTGACTGAGTTTGGTGAGCGTGGAAGCAGTGAAATGGCTGCTGGTTTGGAGGACGGAGCATAAATGGGTCAGGCCGGTGTGCTAGGACGTGGATATGAATAACAAGTAAATGACAAGCCTCATAACATTATATTCCCGAAGACAACACAGTATTTGGTTTTACAGGCAGAAAAGAAGAAACAGATGTTACAAACTTCCAAAGGCAGAGAAGGAAAAACAAATGTTACAAACTTCCAAAGGCAGAGAAGGAAAAACGTGTTACAAACTTCCTTTTAAGGGCAGAGAAGGAGAAACAAATGTTACAAACTTCCTTCTAAGGACAGAGAAGGAGGAACTAATGTTACAAACTTCCTTCTGAGGGCAAAGGAGGAGGAACTAATGTTACAAACTACCTTCTGAGGGCAAAGAAGGAGAAGTAATGTTACTGTCACACTTCCTGCTAAGGGAAGATAAGGAGAAACAAATCTTACCGTAATACTTCCTTCTAAGAACAGAAGTAGACACAGATGTCACTGAATTACTTCCTGCTAAGGGAAGATAAAGAGAAACACATTTTATAGTCATACTTTCATTTTAAAGGCAGAGAAGAATTTATGTTGCATGCGTTAACCGGCTGCAACCTGCGGTGGCAAAGTCCTGGTTGTACATCCATTTCTGGACTTTGGCATTTTTCCAGAGATAAATTGTGTGTGTGCGTCCATTTTCAGAACTGATTTATTTGTGTGCGGTGTTTGTCCTTGCCTTTCAAACAGATGCACTCGGACTGCGAAGGAAGCGTAGATCCTTTCTGTAGGTTGACTGGCATACGTTTTGTAGCATCAAGTAGGGTGTTGCCATTTTGTAGGACTCATAAGAGGACAACTCTTGGCCAAGGGTTGTGATTATTTACACTGACGGGTCGGGGGCAGAAAGGGTGATGGGGCTACATTGCAAAAGCATGGGGATGATGAATGAGGAAAGCTTGGCATATGTTATTGCAACGAGTCATATCAAGAGGTGGCATGAATGTTTTGCCAAGCCTTGTTGGAAATGAGCAGTCAGATTGGCTGCACTAGCACCTTTTGGGAGCACACTACAACTGCACAAGGCAGAGTTTCATGCCTTCAGGTGAATTGGGCATATAAGGCTAGACCTATATTTTTTATAGACCAAACGACACTTGGTGGTGGGTGATGTTGTCAACATCACGCCGGCAGCCTTGACTTCCCAGGACCGCACCTGGTACCCATACAAGGCTGGGAGTCAAGGTCATTTTTGAAGAAAGAAAAAAAACAGTCCGACTCCGTCAGAACCCGAACCAACGACTTTCCGCTTTCCGATCTACAGATGAGCTTCTAGCCGCTACACCACGGTGACTCTCCCTATATAATAGTCAAGGCTTTTTTCTAGGGTGGGGGGGGGGTAGATGCCGGTACTCACCACATAGTGTCTAAAAAGGTGCCTACGTTCACCATAAAGTATCTATTACATTAGTACTACAGAAAATGTTGCCTACAAGAGATACTGGTACTAGGTATCGTTGCATACTGCTAGAAAGAAAAACAAAAAGCCACGAGTGTAGGCACACACACAGACGATTTAAATAACATAACCATGAAAGATTTGGGAGCAAAGAAGGCACAGCTAGAAATTTTGATGTGGCAATCCAGCCAACTTTCTTGAATGCTGGTTTTATATGTATATATATATATATATATATATATATATATATATATATATATATATATATATATATATATATATATAAGTTAGTTGGGTTATCCTCATTGCACTCCGGACATGTCCATAGGTGCTCCGATCCTCCCCTCAGTATGAACCCCAACGTCCGATGGCTAATAGTACCAGTCCTATGTTGATTAACAAGTCTTCTGGCGTGTCTGGTGTGCGTCTCGTTTTTTGCTGTGCCGATCTTAATTCCCAAATCTGCCATTCTGGCGAGTGATGTGGATTCACTGCCACCAAAGTCCTCTATCCTTCCCATTTCTCTGAGGGCATTGATAATATCAGCATGATCCATAGGCTGACTGTCGGTATTGATAGCGGATCCAGCCAACCTGTCAGCTCTTTCATTTCCATCGACGCCTGCGTGTCCCGGAACAAAAATAAAGGTGACTCCACGCACAGTGGACTTCTGTAATGATTCAAGCCATTGTCTTCGCACTGAACCTGCCTGAACCCTCCGGATCATACTCATTGAATCGCTGAGTATACATACATGGGTGTATATACATATGTATGTGTGTGTGTGCTAGGAATAAATATATATATATACTTTTATAAAGTTTATCCTCGTTTGTGTTCTGGGAGAACAAGAATGCACACACTGCCTCCCCAAGACGCTTGTCGTAGGAGTCGACTAACTGGGGGAATCCTTCGAAGTCGGAGTGCATCTGTCTGAGAGGCAAGGAACCAAGAGTCTGCATACAAATAAGCAAGATCTGTAAAATGGATGTGCACGCAAAACTCAAGTTCTGGAAGAATGTTTGAAGCTCAGAGGTGGACGAACAAGCGAAACGTTTCGCCGGAGTTTACTGCCGGTGAATGTGAAGAAGAAGTAGATTATTATCCTACATTAGTGGCCACCAAAACTTATCACGTTTACTTTTTCCATAATTTTAATTCACTGAGACTCAAAGACTGTTGCTTTAAAGTAAATATATCCAGCCACTGGAAAGATTTGTGGAAAGAGAGATAATAGGACGATAACGCCATAAGATTCTTGACTGCTGTTTTTTTTATGGCAGTACATGAACTGAGTACATATGTGAGTCGTGGACTATCTCTCAGTCCTTAAGAAAGAGAATACGGGCTTTTGAGCTGAAATGCTATAGAAAGATTCTCAGAATATCTTGGACAAAGAAGATGAGAAATACTGAAACATTAAAAGATCTGAACATCAAGGAAGATTGGCTAATAAACAGCATCCTTTCTCGAAAGCTGAAATATTTTGGTCATATCAAGCGCCACGACGGATTGGAAAAAATTATAGCAGAAGGCATGGTACCAGGAAAGCGGGGAGGGGGGGGGAGAGGCCTATCGACACGAAGATGGGCACATAATATAAGTGACTTCTTGAGTGTGAAAGTTCATGAGGCGGGAGAACGAGAGACCGAGTTTCTTACAGGCAGACTGTGGTGAGAGCGACGTTCTGCAAAGGACCTGCTACATGATGATGATGACATGAACTGATCCCTGGTGTTGGAGATGCATGATCGTTCATGCCAGTCGACACGCCACTAGATGATGACGGCGATGTGGTACCCTGAGATAAAAAGTGTCGTGTACTGAAAACGAGTTAATTTTGAACAAATAACAATTTGATGCAATATATTTAACAATAAAACCAAACTACAAATATTACGACTGGTACAATATTCACGGGAGACAACTACCGAAGAGAAAGTTAAGCATAAACAAACGTCACACATGTCTGTCGTCGATCTTAAAGTTAGCAAGTCATTTAAACTATTAACATCGTTCACGGTTTAAAAAATTCACTCTTGCACTAAACCCACCGGAAAATGGCACACCAAAGTACCACAGTTAAAAAACCAGCTTTAGAAGTGGTGAGATGTTATTGAATTTTTTTTTGTTGCTCTTATCTTATTTTGCTTCTTTTTGTCTTCCATCTTGTACGGGTGTACGTACGCGAAGTGACGGGGGAAGATAATGTAACAAACATTCGTTGATGAGCTCTGTCAAGAGCACTACTAAGATAGATGTTCATTTATTTAAGGCTGTTTTTTAATAATAATGCCATCACTCCATATTTTGCGAGGTCTTTCACTAGCTCCTCTATTCTATACCTATACCCGTTGTGTAACGTTTCAGTGTTTCACTGGCTTTTTGTGGTAGATAGTCATTCTTGTTGTTAGGTGTCCAAACCATTTTATTTGAATTTGTTGTTTTAAAAATATTTGATGACCTGTAAGACTTCAGGGGAAAGTTCTCTTGTTCGTCGACTTAATGTCTGGACTTTCCTGTGTGGATTCTGTGGCCCCATTATTGGAAAAAAAAGAAAAGACTGGCTCTCCTCCGAACTTCTACCCCTGCATCATAGTGCCCAAACAAATATCCTAAGAGGGCCTCAGTCCTATTAAAAATTAGGGTACTTATGGTGATGAACAAATTGCGACAAAACTAGGATTACTTGACAATTTCAAGAGACGCAACACTGCAGACGATAATCGCGACCATTGACACTCTCAAGCATTTCTGCAGACGATACTAGCGACCATTGACAATTTCGAGACTCGCAACATTACAGACGATAAAAGCGACATGGCGGGGAGACTACGCGCTCCGCTGCAGATTAGCATCATTGTCCTCAAACTTTCTGGCATTTTCAAAACACGGTTACACTCACCGCTGACAGTATCCCTCGCGCCGCTACGTCTAAACTAGATGCCTAGGGCTCACTAGCAAATAAATTGGAGGAAGTTGCAGGAGATATGGTAGCTGCTGCTCGTGAGTCCCAGCCATCTAGTTTAGCTCCCTGCCGCGCATAACGGCGCGGGGAATACGGTCAGCGGTGAGGCGTAGTCATAGAAACAGGTCCGCAATTAACATTTTGCTGAGACCCTGTTAGCGCATTTGTTTCATTATATGGACCGGATCCTAGTTTCGCTGCTCGGCAGGAAGTCTGAGAAGTCTGCATTTTTGATAGAACTGAGGCCCTGTTAGGATATTTGTTTGGCCGCCATAATGCCGGGGTAGAAGTTCGGAGGAGAGCTAAAGTCCCACTGCCACCCCAACAACAAGCATGTCGTAAGAGTCAACTGAATAGTAAAATACTAATTGGGTGTTTCCTTTGAAGGAAGTTGGAGTGCATGTGGCTGGGATGCAGGGAACCAACAGTCTGCATGCACAAAATAAGTCAGATCTGTAAAATGTATGTGCGTGCAACTCTCAGGTTCTGGTTTATTTGTTTATTCAATGGATCAACATCATAGCACACATGTGTAACCCTTGAGTGCTGCATTCTTCTTCCAACTCAAGTCCGAAAAATTTCAGTGCAGTGCACAAACTCTATAACACCTCCGAGAATCCTGAAAATACTTTAATTAAATTTTGAACTCCAAATTTTGTCCGGGCAGTGCCGTTAGGCTAATCTTTTCAGTTTCCTACTGCCAAGGGATTTTTTTTACATGCGCAATAATACCCACGGGCGTCCAGTCTTACTGCCCAGAGACCAGGGGGGAATTACTAGAAGTCCATGTAAAAAAATCCTAGCTTGAACCCGGGACTTCTAGCACTCGAGGCGGACACCATGCCTCGAGACCAAGCAGCCCCCGGTCCAGGTCCTGGAATAAGTTTAGTGTCCAGAGGTGGACGAACAGCCAGAGTTTTCAGTCAGTAAATGCGAAGAAGAAGAGGAAGACTACTGGACTTTTGCATGTTCCTCAGATACTAACACAGATCTTGCTTATTTCATTTGTGTGCAGGCTGTTGGTCCCTTGCCTCTCAGGCAGATACACTCCAGCTTGGAAGGAAACACCGTTAATATTAATAATTTGCCAACCTTGAGGGAGCCGTGGGTCTACACTCCACCCCCCCCCCCCCCCCCCCAAAAAAAAAATCAGTGAGTGGGTGTGAGGCTTCCAAACCCACAAGGAGAAATTGTAGTTTAATTATAATATGTACTTTTAGTTTACACTTTAGACTCTGATCCATGGCATTGACTGGCCATCATGTCCTAACAGTACTGTAGTGTGTTGACTGTTTTTTGATCTTCCCTTTCACTTGCTGACTTCAAGTGTTTGTTTTTAGAGTTTCTCCACTCTCTTCTTGCTTCCTTAAGACAAAGTTTGTGTGGTCAATTTTCAGGTGGAACCAAAGAGTGGAGGCGATGACAGTTTCCAGACCTTTATTCTCCATGATGAAGACCACACTTTAGGGAATGCACTCAAGTATATTCTGAACAAAAAGTAAGTGCAGCTTGATATCTCTTTAAAGACAAAGTTTGTTCATTGTTCATTTTGATATCTCAAGGACCCTGATCTTCTAAGCATGATTCTTTGTACGTTTACGCTGAGGACTTCTGTTCTCTTGATATAGCAACCTTGAGCTCCTGCATGGTTTTCACATGATTTTGTTACCAATGGGTAATACCGAATGTGTACAGGTGGGCATTATTCAGAAATCGCACTTCATCTCTCTCATCTGGATCTGTACAGGTGGGCATGCCAGAATAGCAAACAAATGTTATTTCCAAAGGGTTAGTTAGGGTGAGTAAAGGAGTGTACACCAACTAGCAAGTATTGCGCTGATAAAAAGCCTGGCTGGCACATATGTGCTATGTACAATCTCACGATAGATGACATTTTAACCAGAGCCAACAGATTGGCAGTGTTTCTAGTAGTTAGTGGGGGATATGTCATGTGCAAACTCAATATAGATGATAATTCTAACAAGAGCCGACAGACTGGAAGTGTCTGTGGAAGTTAGTGGTGGAAGAAGTATGGCCATAGCAGACATACTGAATGCACTGTGTTCCAGAGACAAATCGGTCAGAGATGATGAACCACCTATTGGAAACTGGTACTAAATGAGGACATGCATGGAGAAACCAGTTTTGGGACAAGGAAAACAGATTTCCCAATCAACTCCTACTGGATATGGTTAGCACAGAGACACTGAGATGGCTGCTGCATCAGAAGATGAAGCACGAACACGTTGGACTGATGTGACTGATGTCTATACGGATAACTAGTAACATTCTGTGGACACTCTAATGAACTTGGTAGAAGTCTTGTGGGATGGTTGCTGCATTAGAGGACTGAACATGTGCATGTGCCCATTGTCCAGGTATATTGAGTGTGAAAACACAGCATGAATTATTTGTAACTTTTGAATAGATATTTTCAGGCTGGTGTCTGAAGGTGCACAAATAAGAACAAGCAGCAGCATCCTGGGAATTATGAACCTCAGTCCCTTTGTGTTCTGCAGCTCCATTGTCAAGAAAACAAGAATAGACACACTGCCTCCATAACACACATACCATAATTTACTACTGGGGGGGGGGGGGGGGGGTTTCCTTCTGAGTGAAGGACATCTGCCTCAGAGGCAAGCAGCCAGCAGTCTGCATGCAAATAAGCTAGATCTATGAAATCTATGTGCACTCAACTCAGATTCTGGAACAAGACTAAAGTCCAGAGGTGGTTGAACAACCTGAGCTGTCCACCGTTGTTTACAGCCAGATGATGAACCTCATGTTACAGCTGCAAAAAGCCGTATCTAAAACGACACAAAACTTGGTAGAGGGGCAGAGACAGAGCAGGGAACACTGCTGGGTACAGAATTTGACCGACAGGATGTCTCACAATTACAAACATCAAGTCCTTTACTCATCACCCATCTTGTGCAGATTGGTCTATAAATATATAGGTCTAGCCCTATATGCCCTATACTCCTAAAGGTGTGGAAAAGGGACCTTTGCTTACAAGTCCGTTACAGTTGAGAGCAGGGAATGAATGAATCAAGAATTGACATCAGTGCACTCGGGACAATCCCACACGTGCTCTGTCCCCATCTTCAGTAGTCATCGAAGAGACTGCATGCTAATAGTACCAATCCAACCAGATTAAAAGTCTGTGTGTGTTTCCATGAAGATGATGGTGAAGATATCCAGCATCCCTGTTTTAGTGTTATGTGATGTCCTCTTGTAATAAGAAGAAGACTTAAACAGCTTGCTGGCTGGGGGGAGAGGGGTGAGCAATGTTTCTATTCTTTGTTTACCCTGGAACCCACATGGAGAAACTGGAGACCCGACGAGACACGGTGTTATGGGACTATAGTGGTGATGACCAGCCTTGTTAGTTGGTTGGTTTGTTGGTTAATTATCTAGAATCAAAATAATGAAGAATACTTATACAGCAAAATCTTAACAACATGAACATGGTTAAGAAAAAATACAACAAAATTTTGGTGATAGCAAACAGAGCCATCTTAAAAAGTATTTTGGGCTTATGAGTAAAATCCTGACAGGATTTAAATTTTAATGGTTGATAATATTAAACATACATTTATTTTATTAGCACTTCAACAAAACTGGTGTCACAACATAAAAACGTTAAATGGGGCAGTATGAAATTGCTACAGACTTCTTATAGTAAAAGTCACGTGTGACTTAACACAGATTAGCATGGTGCTCTTAGAGCCCCCAAACAAGTGCCCACTGGGCCCTTGCGTTCAGACATCACTGCCAGCAGAGCTTTATTATTAGGTCCCGGTTAACACAGTGCTTAACCACTTTGTCATGGAAACCCCATTATCTTCTATGTCTTCAACATGCTGAGCCCTTGAGGTTCATTACTGCAGATATCACCTGCCTCCATTCATCTCTGTGACTGAATTTGTAGGTCTGCCTGTAAATTATCTCTCCAAAATCTTCTTGGTCTGCCTCGTGGTCTACTCCAGAGCAGCTCTTTTTTATGCAGTTTTTGTCTCTTTTATCTGTCATTCTCTCTGTATGCCCCTATTATGGCAGTCTATTAGCCCTTATGATGCCAGTGATTAATTAGTGATGATTTGAACAAATTATGAATTTTATTGCTGTTTCTCACTCTCGAATTGCCACAATTTGCTTCTTTGATGGGTCCCAAAATTTGTTTGTAAAATTTTGTTATTAGAGGTTTGTAATGAGGCTTCATCTCTTTTAGTTGTATTCTAGGATTCAGAGCCATTATATACAGATGAAATATATCTCAATATGTTTTACATTTGCAGCCCTAGTGTTTCTTTTGTGGGGTACAGTATAACCCACCCGTCTGAGACCAAGATCAACTTACGCATTCAGACAACAGGTAATGTTAACCTAAGCGCACATATTTTATACAGCATCCCACAAGCTGTGTTTCAATTTCTTTGTTAGTTTAGGAGCACCAGCCACTCTACATCCCACTAGCATCTTTCAGTTTGTTGTATTTATCAGTTAAGGAGGCCCGGCTCTCTAGCGGAATTGGCTAAACCGGATTTCGCGGAGACCGGGTGACGTACTCCTTGTGGTCCGGGTTCAATCCCGGGGGTAGGCAGGAAAGCCACATTTTCTCCCAGATTTACGGTATTTACAATGGAATCAAGGCCGAGAGGTTGCGATATCCATAATACCGAGCCTAAGGGTTAACAACTCATGGCTTCTGGATACTAAAACAAACAAACAATCAGTTAAGGAGCACCAGCCTCTCTACATCCCACTAGCATCTTTCAGATTGTTGTATTTATCAGTTAAGGAGCACCAGCCTCTCTACATGCCACTAGCATCTTTCAGATAGTTGTATTTATCAGTTAAGGAGCACCAGTCTCTCTACATCCCACTAGCATCTTTCAGTTTGTTGTTTTTGTCAGTTTAGGGCCACCAGCCTCTCTAGATCCCATCAGCCATGTTAAAATTTGTTTATCAGTGTAGATCAGTGTTTCCCAAAGAAGACGGTAGCAGTCTTAATCAATTGGGGGTGGGGGGGGGGGGGTGATGGTCTAGAGAACGGTAGAAACCTCAGGTTTAGCTGGAAAGCATTGAGTATAAGACAGCATGAGAGAGAGAGAATATTTGGTAAAACTGTTTATACCTTATGCAGTGTAGTGAGTGAAGCATATTAAAATCACAGATTTCCTAATTTTCAAGACAAAAAGAAAACAAACAAAAAAAAGAAATTATGTTATAACTAATTAGGTTGTCATTAACATTAATGAATATGTTATTCTTTAGTTTTGTTTTAATATTCCCTTACTTCGACACTGGGTGGAAAGATGGCATGAGCTGAAACTTCTACAAGTAGCAGCTATTCACAAAATGTATTTTTGAATAAAGACTTTCTGTACCAGCGATTTGACAGAATTTAAATAGATGGAGACCCTTGCATTTCGTAGACAGCACAGATCCCTTACTTAGTTTGAACCGTTAAACTGGCTTCTAAACCATCTGTTGATCAATTTATTTTAAGAAGAAAAAGGTATCAAGAAAAGTCATTTTGCAAGAGAAACTTGGACAGGGCATGTAAATATTTAAAGTGTCATAATGATGTTAGTCTGACTTTTTTCCAAAAAAATGACCTCGGCTCCCAGGTTGACCCAGTCTTGAGTGGGTAACGGGTGCAGTCCTGGGAAGTAAAGGTGACCGGCATGATGCCGATTGGTCAATAAAATATAGGTCTAGCCCTATATGCCCTATACCTAAAAGTGTGGAAAAGGGACCTTAACCTTTTTTTTACATAAAGATGTGTGAAGCTGTCACACCTGAACTGTAGATTAACTGCCCATTCTTATCCAGTACAGTTCTGGACGACCCAGCAATAATCTAGAAAAAGAACAAAGTCAGAGCAAAGAACTGTTTTCACTTTATAACGTCAGAAATAGGTAGCCCTTAATACTTTTGACACGTATGTTCACAGATGGTTTGGTAAGGAAACCACAGAATAGGAAGTGAGCAAATCTACATTACACGCCTTTATTGTAGCACAGTGACACACTGTTTCGGCATGAGAAGCTGGCACCAAATTCGGAATAGAGACAACAATCCTTTGTACTGAGCAGACTCTAGTTTCACTCAACAAAAAGCTGGCATGTTTCCTTAGGTCAAAACAGTTCTCCAAGCCATCTCAGGCTCCAAACAGGACAGCATCATCTGCGAAATGTTACTGTTTTCAAAGCACCAATAACAACATAAGAATCCTTTCACAGGAACACTTATTTCAGCAGCTAATTCTAGCCTCTTGTGGATCTCAAGATATGGAAAGGCAGAGTTTGCTAAGGCTGTAGAAAACCTTATGCAGCTCCATCTGTCCCAGAGCTTTAAAATGCCAAAGACACCCTTAACACAATCTATGAAGTTGAACTGGAGAGAGGACTACATAAATTACAGACCAGAGCATGTTGTCAGGCGTGAAAAGAAAGATGATGCAGAACAAAACAAACATTATATCATTCTGTTTTTTCGATTACGAAAGGTTTATTTCGAGGTAAGGAATACACTCGAGGACTTGCTGACAACTGGCAAGATTAATAGAAAGAGGACATGGTAAAGGCAAAGAGATAAATACCTAGATGGCCTGGCCACGTACATGGGGCATGGCAGCAGCACAATTTAATCCGCAATTCTGATGATTGTGAAGGATGGCAAATAAAGATGTTTCCAGGAAGTTGGGGACGATGGGCGATTGTTTTCACTGAAAAAGGGGCGATGGGTCAACAGGTTTGGGAAACACTGGTTTAGATGTACCAGCCTCTCTACATTCCACAAACCATGTTTTAATTTGTCAGTTAACATGGTTTATATTTGTCACTTTAGGAGTTCCAGCCATTGATGTGTTAAAGCAAGGCCTGAAGGACCTCAAACAGATGTGTGGTCACATGCTGACCACGTTTGAGGTGAGTACAGCTTTTTTATACCCCGCGTTGGGATGTAAAGTTTGACCACCCGCTGTAGTGGTGTGGTGATCCAGGGTCCAGGCTGGTCAAAACCTGTCTTGCCTTGAAATGAGTTTCCCCACCAAGTGTTAAGAATTGACATCACAGCACTCGGGGCATTCCTATATGCGCTGTCCCCATTCTCAGCAGCCAGCCCAGAGTTCCAATACCAAATATGTGTCAGTTATAGTAAGTTCCCCACCAAAGACCTGGCCAGTGTAGATGGGATCAACATTTCCTTCAGAGTCATGAGGCATCTGCCTGAGAGGCAGAAAACCAACAGTCTGCACACAAATAAGCCAGATCTTTAAAACAGATATGCACACTATACTCAATTCTTGGATCAAGACCAAATTCCAGACATAGACAGACTTTCCAGCAGAGTTTGAAGAAAATGCCTAACGAAGTATGTTTTTTTACTGAAAGACGCTAATATCCCAGCTTTGCTGTAAGCATGCACAAAGCAATAACATCCTTTGGATAAACGAGAAAAGAAGATATTTAAGGTAAAGGAACAAAAACCAAGTTACCTGTTTTTATTAATTGTAATTTTTGTTAATTATAATTTTATTTCAGTTTTAACATATGCCACTAAAAGTTGGAGAACTACTAAAGACAATAAACAAAAATAAATTGCATTGATAAACGAATGCTTGTAGAAACTGATAGACATTTAATGGGATGAATTCATAAAAAGAAAAAAAATGACTGGACAACTACCGGCATCAATAGTCATATAGGGATAATCCTCGTGTGGGTTCTGAGGCCCAATTATAGGGGATTAAAAAATAATAGACACACTGCCTACCCAAAAGCATATCGTAAGAGTTGACTGATTTGGGAGCTTTCTTCGAAGTCTGAGGGCATCTGTTTGAGAGGCAAGGAACCAACAGTTTGCATACAGATGAGTCAGATCTGTAAAACTGATATGCACGCAACACTCAGGTTCTGGAACAGGACTGCATTCCAGAAGTGGACAAACAACCAGAACTTTCCGCCAGAGTTTACAGCTGGTGAACGCAAAAAAAAAGTATAGTTAAAAGACGGCAATAGATTGAGTAAAATTATGAGGAAAAGCAAACGAAATCAAACTGGCACAGAAATGGGACACACCTGATTAAGGAAACTGCCCATGCGGGTTCCATAGTCCAATTGTGGGGGGGGGGTATAGACCCACTAATTATGGATTTTTCCTCTGAAGAGTCTGCATACAAGTAAGCCAGTTCTCTAAAATAAAAATGCACACACAATTCAAAGTCCGTAGGTGGAAGAAGAAGAGAGAATTTACAGCTGGTGAACATTATATCCCCCCCCCCCCCCCCCCCCCCCCCCCCCCCCGACACATCGATGAGGTACAAGGGGTGGAAGAGAAGAAGAAGAAAAAAATGGGAAACAGAAACATCCAAAAGAAACTCTTAAGATGAACATTGTCGAGGGAGCCCGAGATGTTGGACTAGATTCCATCCATGATATTAAAAGAATTGCATTTAGTTAAATTAAACGGTGGACTAGGCAGGTTGTGAGTTATATCTGGTGTATAGCGGCACAGCAGAAGTACGAAAGGGAGAAAGGATTATGAAAGAATAAATATGATGATCTCTGTTTACATTTTCTTTCTGTTTTAGAGTGCCACCAAGTATTACAAGGAGAATCACCTGGAAGAGAGATATATGGAAGATCAATCATGACGAGACAGTTTTGTGTGTGTGTGTGTGTGTGTGTACATGTATGCATCTTTCATTTACATATACTGTAAATAATTTCAGTGTCTATATTGAGTTTTGAGACTAAAAAAAATAATTCCAAAACTAGGTGTGGACTTATATTGCTGGTATAAAATGAATTAGACTCAGAAATTTTAGCTTGCACATTCACTGTATATGTATCTCATAGGATGTCATGGATCTTGAAAAAAAAAAAGGGGGGGGGGTTGAATCAGAAATGTAATGGGATAAAGGAAAAAATTGAAAAGGTTGAACTTGGAGATGTGGTTTTTGAGATGCATACTGCGAACACCACAGACAAAGTGACTAATAACTGCCTGGAAATGGTTAATGAAACTTTAAAAAAAAAAAATACTACCATTATTTGTCAGTGTATAAGGCACTTTCAGTTTCCCCATCAAAACAGGCATTATAATAGGGCTACGTCTTATACAGCGAAGGCAGACCTACATGTACCATTATTCTTCATAGTGACCCGCACTTTATTTTTTTTCCCTTTCAAGATCTTGGAATGCTCTGTATTAAAGAGATAATGATGAAAAAAAGACCAGAGTAGAATAGTGTCACGTTGGAAATGCATGACTGTGAGAGCTCCTTAATTATTTATTGGTAGTTGTATGTCATTTCATAACTCCAGAGTGGAGTTTGCATCAGCTCTTTTGTTTTTAACTGGTTACTTGCCAGACAGAGAGAAATGAAATCATTACATGATACTGATGGTTAACTAGTTGTGAATTCTCAAGTGCTTATTGTGTCTCTGATTAGTTAATAAATCTATGCGATCACAATATGGGGGGGGGGGCTGGGGGATAGTAAGTGGTGTTCCTACAGCACAAGTTAACACCAGGTGATAAAATATGCTGAAGAACATGGAAATAGGTCGGCAGAATGTCACTTCTGACCACAGACGGGGCCCCCCAAAAAACATAAGGCTTTGGCATTCTCAGCAGGCTGTTTTGTGCAACATAAACACATGAAAGAGTGCAGAATGTGGGAAAGAGCACAGAATGCCCAGAATTATGGACTGATGTATCTGCTATGCCCGGAATTATAGACTGATGTGTCTGTTGACATTTCTTTAAATTTGAGGTGTTTTTTTTTTTCTGAAATTTTTTTCTCCAACTTTTAGGGTACCTCTTATGCAAGATGGCGTTTTATACTCTTGACAAATACGGTATAAACAGCTGTAAGAATGAGGCAGGCAGTGTTCTTTGGTCATGTGATGAGAAGAAAAGCATTGGAAAACATTGTGTTGACTAGAAATATCAGTGGTGGAAGAGACAGTATTAGAGCGAGATCAATGATTCCTGATGGCCTAGAGTGATGACGTTGTAGGAGTATTGTCCTCAGAATTGATTTAGAATACCAAGGGCCAAGATCAGTGAAGAGACATGGGCGCCTAAGCCGCCTGGCACAGCACATGATGATGACCCTTTGTTAGAGATGAATGAAAGATCAGATGTGATTTGATTGCCTGTGTGTGTAATACATGTACATTTTTTAAGATGACTGGATGATCATAATGTAATTTCTTATTTGGTATGCAAGTGTAAGAGGTGAACCTGGCATCAGACTGATACAGCTGAAAGATGTTACAATCTGTCTGTTTCATATACACTTGTGAAATTGCTCCACTGAACTGTGACAACAAGCAGGATTCAGTATCGTTGTCCAGCTTGATGGACATGGGGTTGCAACCTGAAGTAGGCAGATATGAATATTTCACAAAGGGCACCAGGCGTCTGGTTGTGATGATAGTCATCACTAAGAAGTTTCAAAGCATAGTGGGTGGAGGGCAACATGCACACCAAAAAAATTTTGATGTTTCAGCAGGAGCCTTTGTTGACTGCAGTAAGCTGCTTGTAATAAGCTAGTTGTCTAGGAGATGATGTGTCTAGTGGATGATCTTAGCACACATCCTTAAGATGACATAACTGGGACAAGCCGACACCGACTCCAAAGTACGATACAGTTTATTGACATCTCATCACTTACATACATTGTCCTGTCCGTGTCCTAATTCGCTTGCACGCACCACATTGTTCAGATGCCAACACGCTGACTTCTCACATATTCATCGACCAGAGTTTGGCGCCTTCAGTTCCACATCGCCGCATAGATGGATCTGGTCATTACATCAAGCTTCACATAACTTGGCTTGGCTGGATGTTGTCGTTTGGTCTGCCTCTCGCAACAATCAGTTTCAGGTTCTCATTCTCACGTCCTCTCATTCTGACGGTCAACACATACTAACTGATCAGACTGGGGTCTGACCTTATACCCAGTGTTCATTCATCGTGGCAACACGTGGTTCATTCTTGGGTTCCACGTGGCGACCTGTGGTTCTCCTTGGGTTTCACATGATAACTCGTGGTCGTCCCCTATCTTGAAAACTTCAGTTAATCCGAGTATCTGGCTTCTCTCAGTATTACTGTTAGCTTGGGCCTTTCCTCCCCAACCTTCCTAATCAGGGTGAAAATATCCCCTAATACATTGACAAAAACCACAACCAACAGCTGAAGAAACTGTTTGACTTTTCCATATACAGCTTTCTGAAATAAATGGCAGGCCAGCCATGATTTTAACGCAACTATCTGCCCTCATTTGGAACTCTTGTCATGTAACATACCATTGTATGGTGGATTCATACATGCATTAGTATAATGTGGAATTGCTATGGTACTTGTTAAAAACATCTTTTATAGGACTCCACACACTAACCCTAGTATTTATTTCCTGTTGGTTGTTTTATTGTTAATGCCTGAGAGGGGTAAAGTATCTACAGTTGAGACATGTAGGGTTAATGTGTCTATTTGCTGAGACAGGAAGGGCTAAACTTGTCTCTCATCTGAGACAGGAGAGAGTCAGTGTGTGTTTATTGTATAAAGCATAGAGTCTGTCAGTACTCACATACAGTCAACAAGAACTAGTGAATTAATAATGTGTTTATTGTGTTCAAAACAAAATTAAATCAGTATATTTAAAATATGTCCTGTTCATCATGTTTCAAGCGACAAAAAAAAAAGGGGGGGGGGGTAAATATAGACATACATGAAGGAATTTGTAGATACGCCATCTGAAACATGGAGAAAGACTTAAACATCACATATTTTTCTTTAGGCTCTGTTCTTTTTCTTCGCTGTAAACTCGGCGGAAAGTTCTGGTTGTTCATCCACTTCTGGACTGCAGTCCTGTTCCAGAACTCGAGTGTTGCCTGTGCATCCATTTTACAGATCTGACTCATTTGTATGCAGACTACAGGTTCTTTGCCTCTCCCAATTAGTCGACTCTTAAGACATGCTTTTGGGTAGGCAGTGGGTCTGTACTTGTTTTCCCTATAACAGGACCCTGGAACACACACAGGGTCAGGTTGTGAAAAGACATCTGGTGCAAGCCTGTATGTTTGCTACAGAGATGCTGGTATTCACAGCCTCTGATATTCCATCTGCCGATCAATTGACGACCTCTGGCCCTGCTACCATAGTATCTGACAGGACTCTGGTGCACTGTCTTATGTTAGACTTGACGCATGTCCAATCCATCTGATCTATCTCTTAATGTAGTTTAGCACTAGTTTACCACAAAGATCAGGTCAATCTCTCTTCTTATTACTTCCTTAAACAAGATTTTATTCACTGCTGACTTGCTGGGCCTGTCGCAGTCACCAGGAATATTTAACCGGATGGGTCTCATCCCCAAGTTTTGCAAGTTATCAAGTCACATTAAAATACTGATATCATCATTACGGTCTTTCTTTCTACAAATAAAAGTTGCAGGTGTGCACCACAAAGTGTCTATTACAGTAATTCTGAGAAAAGGATGCCTTAAAATAGGTGCCAGTACTGCGTACCATAAGAAAAAAGCCCTAATCATCACGAGGCCTGTCAGTAGGTATTGGCGGTCATGTTTTGCAATCTCACACAAACACAGACTGTGCCGGTGTTCTTGTCTAGCCCATCCATATGGCCAGATTATCCAGGTATATATCTCTTTTTTCCCCCCATTCCTTTAATCTTGTCATTTTGTTACCTAGTTCTTGAGCCCATTCTTTCTTATAACATGTCTAGAAAAATCTGTCTATGTCTAATTATTATAGTTGTTTTCATATATATTTCAAAACAAAAAAAATAATGTTGGCAACATGGTATCATCTTCTTCACCAGTTGTAAACTCCGGCTGAAAGTTCTGTGCTCATCCACTTCTGGTCTCATTCCAGAACCTGGGTTGAGTGCACATCCATTATACAGACCGAATTATTTGTGTGCAGACTGTTGGTTCCTGCACCTCCCAGGCAGATGCACTCCAACTTCAAAGGAAACATTCCTAATTTTCCAACTCTTACTTCATGCTTGTTAGGGGTCAGTGGGTTTATTCTGTTTTCCCCCGCCACATGGGGGCCCCGCAAGCAACATGGAATTGCTGTCTCACCAGACAATTGTATGACTAGTAAGACCAGCCGAGATGAAGAAAAACCTTCCCTGATTGGTGCATGGAATTTCAAGGCAACTACTGACATCACATGTATCTGATGTCTCGTCTCAGATGCTCAAATCTCAAACTGTCTGCAATCCTGGTCTCTAATGCTACTCCCTACAAGTAATGTCATCTTCAGCATCCTGTTCTCATCTTAATACTAACATTTGTCCCACTTAATTTATCATAAAGACCAGACTACCCATTTGTAAATTACCATAGAGGATGTCCTTCGTGGTTTTACATCTTCTACCCATCTGTATGTTACCACAGAATGTCCTTCAGGGTTTTACATCTTCTACCCATCTGTATGTTACCACAGAGAATGTCCTTCGGGGTTTTACATCTTCTACCCATCTGTATTTTACCACAGAGGATGTCCTTAGGGACTTTACATCTTATACCCATTTGTATGTTACCACAGAGAATGTCCTTAGGGACTTTACATCTTCTACCCATCTGTATGTTACCACAGAGAATGTCCTTACCTTAAGCCCTCATCATCCTCCGAGTGTGTCCTAACCAATTGAGACAACATTGCTGTTTTCGATATTAGTGTTTGTAATGTATTTTATGTGGCCTCCGTCTATAAAATTATTACAAAACCAAAACTAAAGTGGGAAGCAAACAATCTAAGAAAAAGAGGACATCAGAGGGAGACATTAACAAGAACATTATTATGAGAAGCTAAACACGCTGAGCTGAACTTCATGTCAGAAATTCAGAGATTTGCACGCAATAAAGCGCAGTGGAGAAATCAAATGTGAGCTCTGTGTGATATCTAATGGCACATAAAGGATGATGATGGTGTTATAAACTTGAAATTTTGATCACATTTCTAGTGTTGTCAGCGTGCACAGAACTCAGCCTGTGTGACTTCAAACTGAAATAATCCAAGGCTAACCCTCAGAACTTTATAAATATTTCATTAGTTAAAACAACCCACAAGAGTGACATTCTTCTGTGTAAAATTTTTGTAAATATATCTTTAGGTTTAAAAAGACATGTTGTTTTGACTCTTTTCTTGGTCAAACACAAAAACTGTTAAATACAGTCTTATACAAGAAAGACATATGCGTCAGTTACAACTTTCTGTTATGCAAGATTTTCCTGGATCATTTAAACACTTTCTTAGTTAAAGAAGCAAGACATCTGCATCAGTTAAACATTTTCTTAATTACACAAAATAGACATCTGCATCAGTTAAACATTTTCTTAATTACACAAGAAAGACATCTGCATCAGTTAAACACTTACTTAGTTACACAACAAAGACATCTGCATCAGTTAAGCACTTTTTTAGTCATGTAAAAACAACATCTGCATCAAGTGAATACTTTCTTAGTTACAAGACAAAGACACCTACATCAGTTGAACACTTTCTTAGTTACACAAGAAAGACATGTGCATCAGTTAAACACTTACTTAGTTAAGCACTTTCTTAGTTATGTAAGAACAACATCTGCATCAAGTAAACACTTTCTTAGTTACACGAGCAAGACATCTGCATCAGTTAAACACTTTCTTAGTTACACGAAAAAGACATCTGCATCAGTTAAGCACTTTCTTAGTTATGTAAAAACAATATCTGCATCAGTTAAACACTTTATTAGTTACACTAGAAAGACATCTGCATCAGTTAAACACTTTCTTAGTTACACGACAAAGACATCTGCATCAGTTAAACACTTTATTAGTTACATGACAAAGACATATGCATCAGTTAAGCACTTTCTTAGTTATGTAAAAACAACATCTGCAGCAGTTAAATACTTTCTTAGTTACATGACAAACACATCTGCATCAGTTGAAACACTTTCTTAGTTACACAAGAAAAACATCTGCATTAGTTTAAGACTTTCTTAGTTACACGGCAACAACATATGCATCAAGTAAACACTTTCTTAGTTACACGAGAAAGACATCTGCATCAGTTAAACACTATTAGTTATACAAGCAAGACATCTATCTGCATTAGTTAAAAATATTATTATTTTAACGAGAAAGACATCTGCATCAGTTAAACACTTTATTAGTTACACGACAAAGACATCTGCATCAGTTAAACACTTTCTTACTTACACGACAAAGATATCTGCATCAGTTAAATACTTTCTTAGTTATGTAAGAACAACATCTGCATCAGTTAAATACTTTCTTAGTTATGTAAGAACAACATCTGCATCAGTTAAACACTTTCTTAGTTATGTAAGAAAGACATCTGTATCAGTTGAACACTTTCTTAGTTATGCAATAAAGACATCTGCATCAGTCAATCACTTTCTTAGTTACACGACAAAGACATCTGCATCAGTTAAACACTTTCCCAGTTACAAAACAAAGACATCTGCATCAGTAGAAAACTTTCTTAGTTTTATTTTTAAAAAAACTCTTGCACCAGTCAAAAAATTACCTTAGTGCCACAAGAAAGACACGTCGGTTATATATTATCTTAGTTACACAGGAAAGATACCTGCAACAGTTAAACACATTCTTAGTTTCACAAGAAATACATTTGTTTCAGTAACACACTTCAGTCAAACAAGATACCTGTATCAGTTAAAAACAGTATCTCACAACTTAACCACAGATAAGTACTTGGCACAAGACACATGAATAAGTTAACAAAACACACATCTGCATCAGTTAACAAACCGTATGTTAGCAGATAAGTACTTGGCACAAGACACTGCGTCAGTTAACAAACCAGACACCTGCTTCTGTTAAACCAGGCACCTGCACCAGTTAAGCAATTCATTCACACCTGCATGACTTAACAAGAACAGACAAAGATCATAATGTCTCATGAACATAACATCAATGTTAGCTGATCAAGTACTCAGCTGCTCTGGTGATGTCCCAGTCCTTTGTTGAAAGTGCCACTCTCGCCATGTGCTAATAACAAAACAAACATGTGAATTAGTTCTCACTTTTCCCCCAGGAGAACCATAACAGAAGTTTATTAAAATATTTATGATTGGAGACAAAAATCTTGTAATTAAGACTGTCACCCTAGAAAATCTAATAAAATAGGTCAAGACCCTGTCGAAATTCCTCCAAAAATCCTTGGGGGGAGGGGAGGGAAACAACAATTTTTAATGTCCTACTTGTCTAAAATTATATGTTTACGAGAAGCACAGTTACAAGCTCAGTTTGTGCTTGCGCAAATGTTTTGAAGGTCAGGATATGAATATAGTTACTAAAATTAGAATTGTGGGTGTTTTCCTGTAAACAAAATAGCTTTTTTTTAAAAGCAAGCTGCAAGTTACTGTCAAACGATGAGAGCAATACTCTCTGGGGTTTTTGCCAGTCTTCCTTGACGTTCAGATCTTTTAGGATGATGAGAATTATGTATTGCAAAAGACCTGCTTATTGAGGGATGGCCTATATCTTCTTCTCTGTCAGATGTTTTGTTTTGAACTAATTGTGCTGTGTCTCTTTAAAGCATTTCTGCTTTATGTGCGCCTTTTACCCTACCAGTGCTAACACACACACACACAAATAATAAGTCATGAACCCATGGGAGTTGCTCCCCAAAAATAACTGTTTTCATTGATAACTAATAAAGTGTTTAAATATTTATCTACATTTAGGTTTCAAAATATAAAGATATACAGAAACAGTAATCAATCAAGATCAGAGTGAAGCATTAAATGGAATGCCTAAAACAAACAGGTATTGGGTGACCTATGCTATGACCTCTATCACTGAGGCTTATGGGAATTTTTTAAGTCAACCTGACTTTTAAAAAAGCCAATAGTTTCAAAAAGAAAAACCCTCTAAATGATATATTTAGTTAATATATTCACATCCAGGCCTCCTCAAAGGCGCTTAAAGAATCAATGACATTTAACTACACTTTTAGAGACCAAGTCACTGTAGAAATGGCAATTTACAGGCTGTGTCACAAATAGAAGCAGCTAGATTTAACCTTTTTTGGAGCGACAAGGTTAGACTGTCTATGTTTAATGTCGATAAACAGGTAAGTTTCACATTATGCTGATAAAGGCACTAAACAGTTCATAAACTTACCTCATCAAAACCCATGTTTTTCATACTAACGATTTTCTCCTCTAGCTCTGTATCTCGTTTGGGGCCTGAAAATATTACACAAAATATGTCAGCAACAATATGAAAGCCGCAAATGCAAGTCTCCATATTAATAAATATTATTCCTGATATGGGTTCTGTGGCCCCATTAAGTGGGGGGGGGGGGAGACCCACTGCCACAAGAACCGACTAATTAGGGATGTTTCCTTTGAAGTCGGAGTGCATGTGCCTGAGAGGCAAGGAACCGACAGTGTGTATTAAAAAAAAAAGACAGATCTGTAAAATGGATGTGCAGGTAAAACTCAAGTTCTGTAACAAGAAAAAAATCTAGAAGTGGATCAACAATCAGAACTTTCCGCTGGTGAACAGGAAGAAAAAGAAGTGAGCCAGGATTCGCTCTCTGCTAGAGAAAACTAACCATCTGTGAAATCAGATTTTTAGGAAAGGTTGCTAGCAGAACCAGAAGAGAACTGCTTGGGGCGACAGAACTGAGGCAGTAGGTTTCAGATCAGTCCTATCCTATTTATGCTGGCTAGGCCTCAGGTAGGCAACCTGTTCCTGGAATGACCCAGAAGAGGTGTAGATGTATCTCTGCGTCTGTGTGATGTCGACCACATCACCCATCAAGTACCGATTCGTCAATAAAAAATGTGCTTGTATCAAATGCTTCATAATAAGACCACCTCTTTATCTGTGTTGGTTCTAGACAAAGCTCTTACCAAATGGTAAGCAGCACCCTAAGTTTTTTTCTTCAGGCATAATCTTTTCTAGCATTACTGTAAAAGACCCTGGTGAGTAAGGCACCTTTTTTCTTTTAAATAGTCATGGCGATTCCAGAGCTGTAAATTATGACTGTTAGAAACTACTGAGATTGGATATGTTCGGCCAAAAGGTATAGATGTCACAGCCTAGCTAAGACTCACAGTACAATGGCCTAGTGCCCTTTTAAGCATGAATGCAGAAGATTACCTCCTGCATATGCTGTAGTCCAGTGCCTAGCGGTGCGTTCAAATATATCAAAGTTCTCCTTGTACTGATGGGCCACGACTGCATCTTGGGGATCATCGGGCTCAGCTGCAGCCAGCAGGGCTTGTAGGGAAAGTAAGACTGTTCTCAGAGTCATGGCTGCTGCCCTGAATATGTCAGAAAAAAAAATGTAACATTTTGTATAGAACAGACAGACAATAGCGCAGGTCAAATAAAAATTAGGATTAACAAAAGAATTGTTAGAGAAAATCACGAGTAGAATTTAGGTTAGGGAAAAACAGAAACACTCAAAAAGAATTTGATTAAAGTGCTCAACGCAAATACATTTGGCTCATAAACAGTATCCTGTCTCGAAAGCAGAGGTATTTTGGCCACTTTAGACTACATGGCAGAAGAAGGGCACAGTTTCAAGAAAATGACACTGAGTCAGACCTCTGTGAATGGGGATACAAGACACTGGAGAGGCATCAGCTACAAAAGCACACAGGCCTAGAGAAAGAGAGACTTTCAGACGTATTGTGAGGAGAGCAGCATTCTGAAATGGACCTGCTATTTGGTGAAGTATAAGTCTAGTGTCATATATGCCATGGGTTAAAAAAAGGGCTGATGGGTCTATCACAATTCTGCTCTAGCATTACATCCTTAAAGTTATTTAGAAAAGTCATGTTTACTTTTAATACTCAGATTAACATGTACTTACCACTGATCTTTAAGAATGTCTAAACAGATGGCGCCAGTGACTGAGCTGATATTTGGGTGCCATATCTTAGTCACGAACTTTACCTGAATTGAAAAAAAAAAAGACTGTTATGGCAAAATAACTTTAAGAATCAGTGACGGTTTTTCAATACTTTCCAAGTCACATTATTTTATTCGAAGGCAGACTGGGTGTCAATGTTTTGGCTGCCAGGAGACAGGTATTTTTTAAACATTTTTTGAAGTTTAATCCTGTCGCCCCAGAAACTCTGTGAAATGAAAGCAAGCATCCTGCCTGGAATCCCCCCCCTTACCCCTTTTTCCCTTTTTAATTTACAAACATGACCATTTGACAAAGGTCACTAATATATACATTATTCACAATTCTGCTCTGTATATTACTGCCAATCTCATTTATATTTTCTTGTTCTGATTTGTAATTGTTGGCGTCTTATCTACATCAAAGGGTATGAATGTAGCAACTGATTTATTACTTCAGTTGGTGCAGGGCACTTTCAAAAGGTTTAAATGCAAGAGGACTGATTTAAATCTGTCAGGTTTTATACCATGTAACTCAGTGTTTCTTAGATTCGGCTGGCTGAATTGTTGCTAGGCTCTCAAGTTTGAATCTTCAGTAGGGTTGGGGATTTTTTTGTCAGGGCAAAACAAACCCTAACCTGCACAGTTCTTGGCTACAACACTGGCCATGCCACCTCAAATCCTCAGACCCCACCCCACCAAAAAAGTGATAAATGAAGGCAGTAATAGCAGTTTCTCTTAGGTTCAGAAGGCAAGAGCCGATCACACATTAAATGGGTCTGAAAATTAAGGTTGGAAGCCTTATCGGGTGGTGGGGAATGTCAACATTCTGCCCCTGCCTTCCCTTGAAGACAGCCCAGTCAGCACGTGGCTATCCTGGACAAGACCTCCAGAGACAACAAATGTGGATTAGGGGATTTACAAAACCATCACACAAATGAGACTGTTAAATGTCCCATGAAACTAACTGGACAGGCTAACCCAGATAACAAATGCCCAAAGAAGTGGCATGTGTCTGCCTAATGGAACAAAAAACATCCGACTGTGATGCTGTAAACAGGCACAATGTATTTACGTAATTCAGATGATCAGGAAGAAGAAAATTTGAGTAAATCAAACCACATACTTCAGGTGGGTTGAATGGGTATGTCTCTGGGATTTTAATCTGCAATTTGAATTTGCCTCCTTCGTAAGCTGTGTCTGGGGGCCCTGCAATTTCTCCTCTCAGTTCTGTCAAGCTGTCATTTACCAGCTCCACTTTGATATTGCACAGTGCCACCTAAAAATGAAAAATAAAAAAACTTGTATTTATATATCATGTTACATGTCACTTCAGATTCGGAGTCGATTACTCCATTCTATTCTGCATTGTGCCATTTTTCTAATTTGTGCCTCTCCTTTGGGTTCTGGGGCCCCATTGTTGGGGAAAATAAAAATAGAGCTCCTACCCTTTCTTTTCTAGCAGAGATGTTTTGTTTTACTCACAATAAATCAATTATTCACAATTTGCATGAATTTCTTTGAACATGACCTCTTTATTTGTCTGTCTCCATGTTAACAAGGTTTTACTGTAGTAGGCTACATAAAAAAGACCCTTTTTCCAGGAATATTAGGCATATAGGGTTAGGGCTCTCCTTTAAATAACGGTCGCTAGCTGGAAAGCCGACGGTCGCTTAGTCGGAGTGCGCTCCCTTGGCTGCATTGCAAATACGGAGCGTAAAGAGGGAACGACACAAATGACATACTTACCTGTCATCATACGGTTGCGTGGGGTAGGGTGTGGGTTAGGGTTAGGCGTAGGGTTAGCATTAGGGGTAGGGTTAGGCTTAGGGGTAGGGTTAGCGTTAGGGTCAGGGTTAGATGTGACAATTTTGACGCAGGAGTTCCAAATACTGGCCGACAATCTGATGCTTGTGGGAGTAGCGCCACTGGAATTCTCCTAAATATGATGGCAATAGCGCGCGGCTGGTGCCCAATTGATGGTGAATTGTCCGTTTGAGTAGCATCCACAGTCCTTCAATTGTTTGGGTGTGTATGTCACTGTGCGCGATTATTTGGAACTCCTGCGTCAAAATTTTCACATTTAACCCTAACCCTACCCCTAACCACGCAAACTTATCAGTCATTAAGGCATACAGATCTGCAGGAGTCACATCCGTGGCAACTAATTCGTGCGTCGCAAGACCGTGGTTGCTAATGTGAGTCGGAGCTCAATGTCTAACTGCCATGTTGACCTTGTTTTTGATTCGTGACTTTTCCACTCCGTATTTGCAATGCAGCCAAGGGAGCATACTCCGACTAAGCGACCGTCGGCTTTCCAGCTAGCGACCGTTATTTAAAGGAGAGCCGGGTTAGTCCTGTACTGTACAGACCAATCGGCATTCGGTGAGTGATGTGGGCAATATCACGCCGACTGCCTTTACTTTGCGGGACTGTACCTGGTATCCATTTAGGCCTGGGTCAACCTGACTGTCATTTCTATGCAGAATTTATGTTGGTTCTTTGCCATGCAAGCACAAGCACTCCGACTTCGATTCTTCTAAGTTCCTTATTTTGTTCGTCCTCCTCCTGACGATCAAACAAGGCGTATGAATGTGAATAAATATGTCATAAAACTTAGCAGCAGAGTACAGTACTTCACTAAAAGTAGTAATTCCCTAGTTACTCTGGGTAGTTACTGATCGAAATGCAAATGGTAATAATAATTAAATAATACTAAATGTTTTCCGTTACCTCGTCGCTCTTGACGACTTCCTTAAATTCTCGTTTGATCCTCTGCTCCGCTATGTTAGACATAGTTTTTGTTTGTTTTTGGTGGTCGTTTCAGAACACTGACTCCAGTATTAGTTAGTTATCTGTCCACAAGAAAAAATGTTAATAAACAGAAGAATTAACTACAGGTGCCTAGACCACACAATTTTATGAAGATATCATTTCAATCAAGTCGGTTTACAACTAGCTCAAGTGCGAAACGAGCGAACGACTTCCGCTAGTCCGGCAGAAAACGCAGATCTTCCCCCCCCCCCCCCCCCCATAAGTTTTCAAGCTTTCGGGAGTGTGCACCTTTATTCTTCTTCTTCTTCTTTTTATTTTTCTTCTTCTTGTTCTAATTAGGAATAAAACGACCATAGTAATTTTCATTGCATCTGGAATTCTGTGGTAACAAAAGAAAACATATATTACTGGAAAAACGTAATATATTTCGCTCTTATGTCTTCCGAGGTGGCGGGTAGCAAGCCTTCCTTGGATTTTTCCTTCAGTACATGCGGGTGTGTTGGGAAACGAACATACAGACAGTCTGGCTCGTCCTGCGCCACTTTGTTGCAAACTGATGAATGGCAAACTAGATATGACCAAGACCCTTTGGAAGCGAGTGAACATTCGGGAAGCACAACCAGATAGATCATCACCGTCTGAAGAAAATGTTGCAACAGGGAAAGACCAGGTGATTTAGCTGACACTCAGAGGAACGGCAAGACGGACATACAAAGACTACTACTGGTACCACTGGAACTTTGTGCTGGCTGCTGCAGATGCGGACGTCCCAAGCACTGTGAAGTCGGTTCCTAATGCGGTAACGGGTAAAAATTGGTACATAAATGCACATACTCTTTTAGTTTAGGAAGAAAAAAATATGTTAATGTTTACTTATAACAGATATTTATGTTATCAAATACAAAGGCATTTGACTGTGTGCAACATCAAAAACTTTGGGAAATCGTGAGAAATATGGGCTTTCCAGCACATGTAGTACAGCTTATAACAATGTTCTGTCTAGACCAACAAGCAGCGGTTAAGAAGAAACTCCACAGGGGAGCATGTACAGCAGGGATCTACCAATCGTCAGTAGAAGTAATCTCTCGTCGACAAATGTTTCGGCCCACGAGCTCCTAGACATTCTCAGAGAGTGGGCCCACCTGAGTTCACGAAGCTCAGGGTTGGTTTCCTGCTGCACGAAATTACCAGATGTTGTTCGGATAGGAACAAGACGAATTGTTGATTTTGCAGAAGGTACTGTGAGATAAGAATAGATGGCGAAACATCAGACTGGTTTGACATCAAGCAAGGAGTCCGTCAGGGCTGTGTGCTGTCACCCTATTTGTTTAACCTGAACACCGAAAATATAATGTGATAAGTCAGACATGATACAGCCAGAGAGCAATATGATGTCCTAAATATCGGTGGTCATGAAATACCAGAGATCCGATATGCCAATGATACAGTATTGCTATCCAAATCACAGAATCGTATAGAAAACTTAATAACCTCAACCCAAGGAAATGGTGAAAATCACAACTTATATCTCAACATAGCAAAAACAAGGATACTGCATACAGATACAACTGCTATAGAAAAAGAAATATATGTTAATGAGGAAAGACTGGAAGTTGTAGAAAATCTTGGGTCATTTATTACCAACAATGGTGACACAATGACTCGACTCAAACGACGAATCTTGGGTCATTTATTACCAACAATGGTGACACAATGACTCGACTCAAACGACGACTATCTATTGCTCTTTAAAGACTAAAATAACAAAATAAATTATGGAGTGGGAGAAACAGAACTACAAAAATTAGATTTCTAAGAGCATGTATCTTTCCCATTGCAACATACGCATGTGAGACCTGGGCACTTACTAAACAAGCTGAACAGGCCATAAATGCCTTTGCATACAAATGTTATAGACGGGCTCTAAAAATATCATGGGTAGAGAAAAGATCAAATGCATCCATACTTCAAGAACTGAATATTGAAGAGAAGGTTAGCTGTTAACGATGATAAAGCACCGAAAATTGAAATATGTTGGTCACTTGAAACGTAGTGAAAGTTTAGAGAGAACAATAATGGAAGCGTATGTGCCTGGGAAGAGAGGAAGAGGAAGGTCAAAGAGAAGATGGGTACGGCATGTGGTGGACGATATCTAGATGGGTGTATCGAACGCAGGACATTTTGCTAGTGAGCGAGAAGTTTTCCGGAGGGATGGTATGGGAGCAAGGTTTTGCAAGGGACATGCTACCGACTGACTGACATGTTATTAAGAAGTACACAGCGTTTGCTAGTCGCATTTTCTTCCTATGATTATCAGATGCTTTTCAGAACGTTGTTCCCACCAGAACACGAACGAAAGAAGTCGGACCCTTGCTAACTCTCCCGCCTCATGCACTTTCCTGCCCAACGCGTCTCTTTTTTTTTTTTCCTTTGTCCTTCTTCTGGTTGGTCGCCCCTCAATTCAACATTGCCAAGATCGTTAATGTTGTTCAGTTCTTTTCTTTTATAAACCAATGTCGTTTTTCTATTTCTTGGCTGAAGTGTCTTCCTAACCCTTTGCCGGTTTTTATTAGACAAATCTTTATGCTAGGTCGACACAAACCTAAAGGGGTAGCAGATAAAGTCTTGGGAAGTAAAGGCGACCAGCCTGATATTGACCATATTACCAACCGAGTGCCTATTGGCCTATAATATATAGGTCTAGTCGTATACGCTCGGTGCGTGGAAAAGGGTCCATTACTTACTAATCTTTATGACAATCGCAAGAACAATAATAAATTTGCATGTCTCCAGTATTATACATTGTATTCAGCACATGAGTGACCTGTCTATTCTACTGTATTCTTCTAAGGCATACATCCTTAAATTGTCTCTGACGCTGTCCAGGCTAGGTGACCTGCAAGTTTTGTTGTTCGTCCATCACTGGTGATGAGAAATACTCTTTTTTTTCATCCGTCATGAAACTATAGTTGATTGTTCGTGAGTCCAAGGGTGACTTATAAGTCTAATAGTGACCAGATCTGGGACAATGAGGACAGGGAACATTGTGCATAGGAAAAAAGCCTGTTAATAATGGTGTATCTAACATGTCTCCGCCATTCAGCTGCCCGTTGTCTTGATGCCTCGCAAATCACTGCGCCTCTTCGGGTAGACGTTCGCCATATAGTCTGGTCTGGCGCAGCAACCTGTCAAGTATAAAAGTTTATTTGAACGCTTTAAGTGATGCCTTAGTGTGTCTTGAAACGTTTTTCTTCTCTTCTGGCAACCAGGAGAGCCTTCTTATATCTCACCATACACGATTCATTTTGTTGTTGTTGGAGACGATGGTCTGGCAAGCGGACGTATTTGAACTGCTCATCGAGTCTGTGACTGCATTAGTATGGTATCGATGCTGGGAATGACAGCTTTATCCAGCTGGAAAGTATCTCGAGCCCTATCTTGCTACTTAATGTTCAGGATCTTTCTCAGCAAGCATGGAAATCATATCTATGCCTCTTCGAGGTCACGATACGACATATAAAAACCAGCTTCATATGGGAACAGTCGCTAGAAGTTTTTTTTTTTTTTTTCTGGCGGTACGTATGTATGTATGTAAGTTGTATCCCACCAGGACATCACACAAGCGATAAACACCCAGTGACACAAAGTGCCACCATGTGGATAAGGATCACTCGTGGAGAGATCCCAAACTACATTTAGGGTCTGGCTATATTTAAGGTCCCCGGCAAAAGCCAGGTTGGGGCTTTAAAATAACAAAAAAATTGCATCCCACTGGGAGACACGATTTATATGTAATTCTGGCGGTGCGCAGTACCGACACCTTTTATTTGGTATCATCCCACACCCCACACGCGCTGCTGTAAAAACACTTTGTGGTGAATAGCGGCATAATTAAAAAAAAAAAAACACACACACACACACACACACACACATACAACCAGGATATAGGTAACTGAGGATGCCAGTCGCATCGAAAGACTGAGTCCGCATGGAAATGTCCAACGTTCAGTGCCGTCGATCGCGATAACGACATTTCAGGTGGGATGTTGACAAAGCGTTGTGTATTTCAGATTTAAGGGCACTCTGAACTTTCATCCTCCACTTTGTTTATCCTTTATTATTTTTGGGGGAAATGAAACCATTCCTCGGGCGAATCGTTAATCTGCCTTCCGCACACTCTTATCACATACACAGGTGCCGTCTCCATATTAAAGTTTAGCTTCAATTGATCTCCAACAGACCCTGTCTTTCTCCGTGGATGTACACTCTCAGAACGCTGCTGGTCCATCTCTTGATGTTATCCCTCATCTGTATTGATTTCTGCCTCTAACCTATGGCCATCTATTTAATAACTAACATTTGCGAATGTTTTGCCTTCTTTTGATTTTTTAAAATTCCTATGTGTTTAATGCACAAAAACATGAACCGAAAACTTTACTGCTTTTTAATGACAAGAAGTTTTAGAAAATAATTAGCAGTAACTTAAACAACTAACTGTTCGACCCATACTTAGGATAGACCTATTTCATTTCTCCTGTCTCTGTAAATATGTATGCTTGTCAAAAGCGGTTAGTTGTTTAATATTGCATAGATTGTGCATTAATTCTTACAAATTGCAAAAGTGTATATTGTTAACTTTAATACATTTCAATACATTTTTTTTTTATAATTGTGAAAATCATACTATGTAACCAACCTATCTATGAGAATATTTAAAATGACCCGAGATATATTTTTTTTTAAATAATTGGGAAAATCATACTATGTAACCAACCTATCTTTGAGAATATTTAAAATGACCCGAGATATAATTTTTCTGTCTTAAGATGTATTAACATCTCATGTGACGTTCTTGTTGTGTAATCGTTTATTGGAGCTGTCTGGAGCTATCTATGTCCACCATATTTCTTTTTAATTTAATTTATTCAGATAATATCCATAACAATAATCACTAAATAATTTATTCAGATAATAACCGTAACAATAATTAAGTATAAATCTTGAGTATAACATTACTGCAAAAAAGATGCACACAAGCTGTCCACCTTCCACCACACATGTATACATAGAATTATCAAAATTGTCTGGCCAGATACAATATCAAACACTAAGCTACTTCAAGTCACAAACCAAGAAACTTTAGATGGTATAATAACCAAGAGAAGATGGAAATGGCTTGGCCACGTTATGAGAATGAATCCTGATATACCTTCCAAAACACCAGAGGGAAAGAGAAAACAGGGGCGCCCAAAAAACAACACGGAGACGAACGATGGAAAGTGACCTGAGTGCGGGATCTTTGACATGGAAAACTGCATTGAAGATTTCACAGGACAGGAAAGCACGGAAAGTCCTCTCTGAAGCCTTATGTGCCACTAGGCATAACGAGAACTGATTCTGATTTGATATACCTCTGAACCATGTATTAGGCCTATAGCTCAAGGACTACCACAGGGCTCTGAATTTCACCTGTGCTGTTAAATGTTTTTACGAGTAAGATACCTGGAAACCTAAAAAAGGATATTGACATTTGCAGATGATGTTCTCGTATATAGGAAGGGGAGAGATCGGTATCAAATAGCTCAAGAGTTACAGAAGATAAGGTGATCGACTGGTGTACAGAGAATAGGGTTGTAATCAACCCAGATAAATAACAGATTTTTTCAGACTAAAAAAAAAATGGCAGGGACATCGAAAGAGACAATATACTGCGTTACCTAGGTATCACCTTTGACAGAAGTTTGTCTTTCAAATAGGGCTGTACCGAATATTCGCTTCGTATTCGCTTCGGGACCGAATAGTGGACCTGTTGACTATTCGGTATTCGGCCGAATAGTTGCGGTCGGGCCGAATACGAATAGTAGTTAACTTATACCCGCTTCTGCACACTGCCTTAATGCTGACAACATGCAACGACTGGTTTTTTTCATAGCTAATGCAGCTTTCCTGCTTTAACTAAGCTGTCAGTGACAATCTCCAAGTTAATTACTTGTTATAATACTTAGGATTCTTTCATTCCTAGTTATTAGTTACCACAGACTGACTGAAGGATGCAAAACATAGAATGTTTTTAAATGTTTACTATTCTGTTCGAATACTAACGAGACATGGAAAAAATATAAACTCCGGCCACATCCAAGTCAATAATATGAAAATCAAACAAACGGAAACATATAAGTACTTGGGTGCAAACTTCAACTGCTCCAACATGCTGAGAGAAGAAATACAATCTAGAATACAATCTAGAAAAAAAAAAAAAAAAAAGTATACAACATCTGCTAAAGTCAAAGTGTCCGTCTCGCAACACCAAGATCAAAATATATAAAACGTTGATGAAGCCAGTCTTTTTATATGGCTCTGAAACTTGAAGCAGAAATAAAAGAGATGAGGCCTTATTACAGGTTTTCGAAAACAGTCTTACAACAAATCTTTGGAAACATCAAAGATGCTAACAGCGGGGAATGGAGAGTGAGAAGCAACAACGTAACACATAATCTGTTTAAATCACCATTGATCACTGGCATCATGAAAGCTAACAGACTAAAATTGTTGGGGCATATTGAAAGAATGTCAGATGACAGAGAAGTAAAACTGTATACACCTGAGAGAGGAATAGGCGTAGACCACGAGGCAAACAAAAAATAAGTTCGAGAGATAATGTCCAGCCAGACCTGCAAAAAACTGGTGTCACAAATTGTGAAGATAAGGCCAGTCAGAGAGATGAATGGAGACTAGTGATGTCTGCAGCAGTAAACCTCAAGGGCTCAGAATGCTAAAGAAGAAGATGGCTATTCTGTGCTACTTTGTGTGAAGTAAAAGTTCAGCGTACATTTGACATTATGAAAGTGTTTTTTTTTTTTTAGATATATTTTATACGCTATACACTATTCGTATTCGGCCGAATAGTTGGTCCCGCTATTCGTATTCGGCCGAATAGTTGGTCCCGCTATTCGTATTCGGTCGAATAGTGAAAATCACTATTCGGTACAGCCCTACTTTCAAGATCACATACAGGGGGTTCTGACAAAGGCTCAAAAAAGGTCTTAATGCACTAACGATTATGGCAGCGATGGACAGGGAACAGAGAATGTTGTTTACACTTTACCAGCTCTTAATCAACTCAGTGATTGATTATGGATTGGGGTTACTCACTGTCTCGAAGAGTCAGCTATAGAAACTGGAGCGCATACAGAATAAAGCTATGAGGGTGATCCTGGGATGTACAAGAGACACCCCGATTGTGTGCATGCGATACATCCTTGCATCGCAGATAGGCTAAAGGTACTGCAGGCTAAGTAATACCTCAGAGTAGCTGCAGACGAAGAACACCCTCTGTATGAAGCTATAAGAACAGTGATGCGCACTACAAGACTCCTAATGTCTTGTACGCAATAAGACAAGTATGCTTGCTGTTTAACACTGAGCGAGGAGAGAAGTTGGTCAGAGTACCGAAGGAAAAGTCTGACCTGTGTAGAGTTATGATCACATTGGGCCGGGAGTGCAGAGTGGCCAGCGGGTGCTACGGATGTGGAAGTCCAACAGTTAATTCACGCCCAGGTGATCTGATTATCTATTCAGATGGTTCAGTGTTGAGAGGGAAGAGAAGTACCTGGGAGTTCGTAGCGAAAGCCAATGGAAAATCTTTAGTGCAAGAAAGCCTAGCATACAACATCACAACATCTAGCATGAGAATGGAGGTGGAGGCGGTAACTGCAGCTTTCCGGTGGCTAGAGAACGAGATACACATGTCGTAATTGTAACAGACTCTGAAAGCATGCTGAGAAAGGTGAAGACAGGGATGCTTCGAGCAGAGTGGCAAGCTTCACTAGGAAGGCCACTGGTAGTGAGCATGCTTTGAATTTTTCTCCAGGCTCTGGTGGCGTAGTGAGTAATGAACAGGCAGACAAATTGGCTGGATATACACCACTGGGTGGTGAATTGATACATCATAAGGCAGATATGGCCAAGGCCCTTTGGGAACAAACAACGGAATCAGTAGAGAAACAAGATTATTATGGCCTGTAGAGAATGAGGCACCTGGGTGTAACAGCGGGTCTGACCGGCTCACTACACTCAGAGGAAAGGCAAGACGGACATACAACCAGATTGTGACCGGTACCATCAGTATTGGAACTCCGCTCTGGCTGCCGAAGATGAGGACGGAGTACGCATGGGAATGCCCCGAGTGATGTCAATTCTTTACTGAACTGTTTATTAATATTCTACCCACAGATGACGTCACAGGACAGTCCAACATTTTAGACTAATTTTAGAGGGTGGTAAGACTGAGTTTTCCGGCTTTCTGATGCTTTTAACGATCCCAAAACATCTAGAATTGGCCCTAACATCACGGCCAACGAGAGATGGCAGCCTAGGTCCCACCCACGATTGCATGCAGCCTAGCTACCACCCCTGAAATATTATACTGTTCTTTGACCTGTGGATTTCCCTGTTTTCGATAGGATTTTTGGTTCTTTATTAATATCTTACCAACAGATGACGTCACAGGACAGTCCAACATTTAAGAGGGTGGTAAGACTGGGTTTCCCTGCTTTCTGATGCCCTTAACGACCCCAAAATATCTAGAACTGACCCTAACCCCAACCCACTTAAGTCCGACGAGAGATAGCAACCTAGGTCCCACGACTGCATGCAGCCTAGGCCCCACGACTGCATGCAGCCTATCTACCACACACTGAAATATTAGACTGTCCCGTGACCTGTGAATTTCTCCTGTTTGGGGTAGGATATTAATAAAGCACTTTATTAATAAAGCACGTCGTTGCAGATCTGGTATACGGTACCAGCGCCACAATTTTAAAGAGCAACTGTTGCCCAACAGGTGATGTTAGACTTTCATGATAAAATTTTTTTTATGGGAAACCGTAACCGAAGACAAAAAAGCGAAACTGCGATACTGTGAGTGAACGTCAGGCCCGGGCTGCAGAAATCTGTCATATGATTGCTCAGTCCATGCCGAATTCTACACGAACACAACGTTCTGGTGCGTTACAGACTTTCCAGAGAATGCCCAACATCAAAGTGTTTGGAGGAACTTCCCACCCGGATTTAGCGCAGAAGATATGCCAGAGATTGGGTATCGAGCAAAGCAAGGTTGTAACAAAGAAATTCAGTAATGGAGAGTGCTGGTGAGTGAGAATGAATGTGATAGTTTGATTCGAGCCCTGAGGTTCATTTCATTGCTGCAGATGTGAGATATCAACCGCCTCCATTCATCTCTCTGGTTGGCCTTCTCTTTCCAATTGGTAACACCAAGTTTTTGCAAGTCTGTCTGAATATTATCTCTCCATCGTGACTAATGTCTTCTTGGTCTGCCTCGTGGTCTACGACCATTCATTTCCTTCGTCACAAGCAGTTATGCCTCTTTTCTTTGACAACAAACAAAAAAAAACACCCAGAACGGAGTCAAAAAAATATCTAAAAACATCTAAATGTACGTGAAAACATCTAGAAAAAACATCCAAATGGAAAGAGTCATAAATTACATAGCTATTGATATGACTTACCCTATAGAATCATGTCCTCATCTTCACTGATGTCTGCCTCGCAAGATCCACAGGATAAACTTAGCTTGGATGATGAAGCTAAAGCTTCAGATCCCTAATGACTCTGGTATGCTTTAGCTGTTCACATTTCTTATAATACACAATCAGGGAGCTAATAAGTGGAACAGCATTTTCCTACTCTCATCAGGCTGAATTTTATTGTCAAGATAGCGACATTTAAGAAGTCAAATGTTTCTTAGGTTAGATTTGATATAACTCATAGCACTGAAAACTCATTCTGCTTCAGCGTTTGAGTGGGGTAGTTCTCATTGCAAAACTGAATGGAATCTAAGGAAACATGCTAAAATAGATCCAATCCTTCTTACACAGCAGAACTAGAGTCTTGATGGCCAGCAGAGCAGAAAAGTGTTACTTCGGCAAGGAGAGGATAACAGAGATGAGTTATCTCTCCAACTCTCTTTCTTGTTTATATAAATGATCTGGTAAAAGGATCAGGAGTAAAAGCTGCCCTGTATGCACATGATCTGGCACTCTGGTGTACCGATGAACACACCACAGTGGCAAATATAAGAATGCAGCGAGCAGCAGATCTCTTGATGACATGGGCAGAGAAGTGGCATGTTGCCATCAACAAAGATAAAACATCCACAACGCTTTTCTCTCTTTTCCCCACAAAGCTGCTAGTATTCACCTAGGAACATCCTTGCTAAAGGAAGAAAGCTTCCCCACTTATCTTGGAGTAACATTTGATAAAAGGCTCACATGGAGCAAACATATGGAAAATGTAGAAGGGAAGGCCAGAAGACGACTAGGCCTACTTAGAAAACTGGCAGGTACAGGATGGGGAGTGAATGGAAAAACCCTAAAGAAAGTTTATAAGGGAGCGATTAGACCCCACTTGGAGTTTGGTGCAACAGCATGGTCAACAGCTGCTAATTCCCATCTACAATCGCTAGAGTGCAAAATCAAGCCCTTAGACTCATCACAGGATCCATGAAAACTGCACCAATCATGGAGATGCAGAAAATAACTGCAATGCAGACATTGTCCTATAGAAGAGACACTAAAACTATTATCCAGATGGAGAAGTAATAGTATGCAGTCACACCCAATGAATGGAAGGTTAGATGATCTGGCATTGTGGCATCTCAAACATAGCAGCTTTGTCCATCGGGGGAAAAGACTTAGAAGACAGTATCAAGCAGATCTACCTATTAGAACAACACCGCTGAAACCTATCCTATACCCTGTACCTTGGGAGCAAATCAGTGATACAATACAGATAGTGACTTCAGTCAATGGATTCACAACTGGAGATGAGTCCAATGATCTTCAAAAACGAACAGCTGCCATTAGCATGATTCATGAAAACTATCCCGAACAGTCATGGATACATGTTTACACAGATGGATCAGCAACCAGTGCAGTTAAAAATGGGGGTGCTGGAGTCTTTATTACATACCCAGGCAACCACCGCCACACAAAGTGGATACCCACTGGTAAATTCTGTTCCAACTACACAGCAGAGATCGTAGCACTAGAGCAGGCTGCTGAAATGTTACACAACACCAGTTCTGACTGCCACCAGGTGATCATATTCACAGGTGCGCTATCAGTGCTTCAAGCCCTCAAGCCTGGCAAACTCCCTCACTTGAAATCTGAACTTGGCAAGGTGGCTGCCCAAAAGTGTACTGTACTCCACTGGGTGCCACCCCACTGTGGTTTACCAGGAAACGAAACCGCAGACTTGCTTAGAAAGGGGCAGAATGTGACCAGGAAGAGAATGCAGTAACATACTATGAGAAGAAAAGGGCCATCCAGGCTATTAGAAGTGAACAGTCTGGCCAGAGATGACTACACTTACTTGACCGGCATGGGCAGGTCATTGTCCTACGTCTCAGGACAGGACATAACAAACTTAACCAGCATATGCACAGGCTTCGTCTAAGTAGTTCACCTGTGTGCCCTTGTGGGCTATGTGTGCAGACTACAGAACATGTCCTGAAAGACTGTCCCTTGTTCAGCCCATTAAGAAAAGAATACTGGCCCAGTGAGTCACCACTGCACACAAAGTTGTACAGGATTAAAAAGGAACTCATAAAAACAGTCACAGTCAAAAAGTTTATCACAAGAACCTGTCTGTTGGTGTAAATCAGAAAGCAAACACAAGAAGTGGGGTAGTATCATGGTAGACAATACATGGCACATTCAAAGAGCTTACAGAATGGACTGTTTGATGAGGCATTTTTAAATTGTCTCACTTCACTCCAAAACGCTTCAGTTTCTGTTTTGTTTGTCCATTTAACTAAGTTTATTTTGGTTAACTGATATTCTGCTTCCGCAACACTATTATCAATCCCTAAAAAATTTCATAACTTTACAATATATAGTATGTCCTTTACTGGCTGAAGTATGTTGCTCACAGAAAAAAGTGAAATATTTTTCAAAACATCTAGATTTTCAGGAAGTCTCTGCTTCAGTTGCTTGAATAATGAGATAAGGAAATCTTGACAGCGTTTTCTTCAGTTGTTCTCTTCATTCTCTGTTAACAGTCCTTTTGTTTTTAAATCATCAATTTTTGATTCAATTTGATATCCAAGGTATGGCTTAAGAGCCAAATAGTTCTCTATAGTGCAAGTGATCAAATCAGCTTTAGAAGTTGGCAACACCAGTCTTTTACCAACTGAGTGAAATAGCAAAGTGAGATTGTCAAGTAATTTAACTTTATCGAACAATTATTAACTTTTTGCACTTCCATTAGGATAGGTCGTAAAGAGAATGAATGCCACATTTTTGTTATCACTGTACATTCCATATAGTATTTCAGCTGTGTAGCACTTTTCACTTTGTCTTGTTATTTGAAGTGTCTTTAACTCCAACCATTGGTTCATAATTCTTTCAACAGCTGGTTGAATTGATAACCATCTAATTTTGCAATCTGACAGAATTTTCAGTGGTGTGGAACCATCATCATAGCATTGTATTGCTGTTGTCTGATAAATGATTTTGAAAACCAGTTATGTGTTTCAGCAATAAAGTATTTCAAATTCCTTGGTAAACATTCAGATGAAGCGTGTGTTAAATCTAGCTCGGCTGCAATGAATGACACATACATTTTATAAGTATTAACAATGGTATAGCTTCCTTCAACTTGGCATAAACGCCATTGTTGATACTAACCATCACCGAGGCATTATCGGCACCAGTTGCAGCCAAATTCTTAAAGTCTGTTTGTTGATTAAAGTTTCTTCAGTTCCTGAACTATACTTTCTCCCTCACACTGTTTTCAAATGAACTAGTTGAAGATATATGGAAACTACTTTGTCTTTACTGTTGCTGTAATATATAATACACACACCAAGCATTTTCAGTACCAAAATGTCATTTGATTCGTCTAATAATAAACTATTTATTTGTAGAAATATCACCGATTAAAACTTTTTTGAAGTGAGAAAATAAAGTATTTCTTGTAATATGTGTACACTTGCTAGCTATTCATTTTTATCTCATCCATAACTTTACTGTCAGAAATAGTGTTTTTAAATAAATCAATCAAATGGTCACAGTTTAAGATTGCACAATGACAACTTAAAAAATTGCGACTGATCCTTCAACTTTTAATTATTCATTTATTAGTGTAGTTCTGAAAACAGATGTCAGTGGTGTAATATCTTTGAATGGAACTGCAGTTTTATGTTTTTAAGTTTCTGCATGACTCTTTAAGTCTTGTATTTTCACTTTAATTTCACACGTGCAGTACTTACAACGAGCCTTGGTTATATCCCCAGGAACTGCCATCACCCAGTCTTTAATTTTGTCATCATGAAACCACTCTTTTTGACATTTTTGCTCATACTTTAATTTTGGCATGCTGAAAGGTTTTTTTCAAAGTGAAAGCCACATATAAAGGTGAGCACTTATTTTAAAAAAAAAATCACATTATTAAAAAGAAACACAAAGTCAGCACAGTGAGGATACGGTTGAAACTAAGTTAGTATGATTTACACACGCTTTTAATTAATCACTACCCGGGCTGCCAGATATTTGAGTGTTGACCCCAGTGAGATTTCAAAGTTTAAGTAATCACAGTTGTCACTATGTACGTGCCAGACCAAACCAAAAATATTGTTAAAAATATTTTACACAGTAATTATTAAACTGACACTGAAAGAAGGAAAATATCTATAAAATATTTAACTCCAAATGAAAAACATCTACCATCGAGATGTCAAAAACACTATCTAAATGCAAGCAAAAACATCTAAATCTGGATGTAAAACATCCAAAGTGGCAACACTGGCACAAGTGTATCATCATCATCAGGTGCCTTGCCGACTAGCATCGGCGACCATGCCTCTCCACAATCACAATCTGCGATCCCCTGCAGCATGTATCAGTTCGTGTGCTGACACACCTCCATGCCATGCAACAAGACTATCAAGTTGTATCCCTTTTGGTCACTGCAGCATCTCTCTGACTTCTCTGATTTCTATGGTTACTAATTGTTTTCCTGGTTTATTTGATTTTTTCCAGTGTGGAAATCGGGGAGTCAGTCAGGGGGCAGGATGTGTTCATTGTCCAGAGTGGGTGCCGAGAGGTGAACGACATGCTGATGGAGCTACTTATCACTATCAGTGCCTGCAAGGTTGCATCTGCCAGCAGGGTCACAGCGGTCATTCCATGCTTTCCTTATGCTCGGCAAGATAAGAAAGATAAGGTACGCCAGTCTTTCTCACTTAGGTTATCTTTCAAAGCGTACGCTATAGTTTTCTCTAGTCTTTTGTTTTCTTTTTTATTTGTAAACACACATACAGCTTCCTGAATGCCTTTGCAAAATGTTAAACATAAAATAGAATGAATTTAAGAGAGGAGAAAAAAATCAGAAACATGTCTGGGCAACCACTGTTAATGACAGTTAAATGACAGAAAAAAATGATGCTATATAGGACACATCCTGATAAAAAAAAATAAGCATAGAATTGCCAAAATTAGAACTAAAGGGATTGTGGAAATGAGGACATCCAAGAGAAACCATAAATTCAGAGAGAGGCCAAAGGTGTTAGACTCCATTCATGATATTGGAGGGAATGCACAAGTTAGAACAGAATGTAAGAATAGATGAGAGTCCAGTGTGACTTGTAATGGTACAACAGGACAAGGATGATGACAGCCTCTGGTTGAACATGCTGAACTACTACTTCTTCTTTACGTTCAGTTTTGCATGCTCAGATCAGACCATCAGGTGGGTTGCCTCTGTAAACTCGCATGTCAGTAGCAGGTTCTTCATGGTTCCCCCATAGCTTGTTCTGCACACTTTGCTCTTGAGGCCAGGTTTCTTTTTGAAGTTGTGTGTAAAGTGGGCAGGTCTGCAGAATTTGCTCAGGTGTTTGTGGTCCTGTTTGACAGGCACACTGTGGGGACTAAAATCTTTATTTTGTGCACTTGGTAGTTAAGCCGGCAGTGTCCTGTTCATAGACGGAAAATTGTTGTATGTTGCTTTCTGTTGAATTTGCTGATGGGGTCTTGTGGATGTTTACTGTTTGTTCTCTCCACAATTCCTTGTATTTTCCCTTGATAAGTGTTCTGATTTCTGCTAATGGCAATGGATCAGTGTGTTGTTTCTCCTTTGTTCCATTTTTAGCAAGTCTGTCTGCTAACTCCATTCCTGGTATGCCGTAGTGAACCCGGATAGACTGGAGAACGATCTGATTGCTTTCTGCAAGTCTGTTTAGCTGGCGGTCAGTTCTCTTTCCATGATGTCACGTGGATCCCTCTGTCGCCTGGAGGACTAACATGCAGTCACAAAGGAAAAAAACAGTTTTGCTGTTTTTAATTTTCTTTCTTCAAGCACTTTGGCTGAATCTATAATTGCTTGCTGCTCTGAAGTTTTTATGAGTCTCATGACGTTTCTACTGTGGTCCCATCTTGCAGCATGATGACCAATCCAGTTCCTCTGTTTTTTTTTCTGCTTCCTCCAGTGATCCATCGGTGTATACGTGTATACATTCAGGTTTTGTACATGCTGAACTATTGGATGAATTCTATTTTGATACAAATCTTTATTGTCTGTGTGTACCACTTTATATGACTATGTAGGACAAGATAGTTCTTGAGCCTGAGGATTTAAGATCACATGACTAGTAGTCGTCACAAACTGCAGGTTAGGATTATGTTGCCAAAAAGCGTATATATCGCAGCTGTGCTGTAAACAGGTGCAACACAATTACATCACTCTAACGAACGATAAAGCAGAAGAAGAATGATGTCATTTTCCCTCCAGCAGAACAAACATCAGTTTTTGCCTTACCATAGATTTAAACCCAGGCCACCGCGTAGAGCCCCAAATTCTAGTCACTTAGCCAGTCGCCGTTTTTCTCATAAATTTGATAGTCAATGAAGTATCTTGTTTCCTTTCAGAGTCGAGCACCCATTACTGCAAAATTGGTTGCAAACATGTTGACAGGGGCTGGAGCCGACCATATCATAACCATGGATCTACATGCCTCTCAGATACAGGTAAGTAATGTTTCGTGTCTTTAAGGATGCTTTGTAGCTAACTCATGATAGACATAACCTTTACTGTTCACTGAGCCTTTTGTCCTGTCACTACCAGTAGTTCAGTTCATCAGGACATTTGCTTCATTTAGATCTGAAATAGTCAAGTTAACAGCCGACATCACAGCACTCGGGACATTTCTGTTAGTGCTCTGTCGTCTTATTAAGCAATCAGTGAAGAGCTCCGATACTGGTGGTACCAGCTGCAGTCTGATTATATCTGATTGTAGAATGTTGGCCACATTCCCTAGTCACTCCCTGTTGCACCATTCTCTCCACATCATGATGATCTGTTTGTACTTTTGCTTTTTTCACTCGCTCTCAAAGGATCTTAGATCACATCTAGCATGTTGTGCATGACTTTACCACCCAGTGGTGCAGAATCTGCCAGTCTAAATGCCTTTTCATTTCCCAATGCAACTGAATAACTTGAGAAAATATCTGAAGGGCACTGATTGTGTGGAACTGCTGAGGTGATGCTTGCCACTCTGCACAGTGTAAGTATGCCTTTCTCTTGAACAAAGTAGGTACAAGCAACAGAGCACATGCTTCAATGCTGGTGGCATTTGATAGCCATTGCTTCCTGTCAAGCAATGACACGCAAATACCCCCCCCCCCCCCCCCTTTTACCCCTACAATGTGTAACATCAAAAGTGGATGATGATGACATTTAGGGACTGGCCCCTCATCAAGCATGTAATGAAAAGCAGCTAATTAGGTGTTCTTTAGAATCGCAGTGCATCTGCCTGAGAGGCCAGGAGCCAACAGTATGCATTCAAATAAGACTGATCTATTTAAAAAAAAAAGCTATAAACACAAAACTTAAGTTATGGAACAAGACAAATTTCAGGAGTGGACAAACTACCTCAACTTTCTGCCAGAGTTTATAGCCGGAAAAAGAGGCAGGCTTCAACCGGTATGAACATGGTCACATGATGATGGAGGCAGGTGAGCATGCATGAGGCATTTGGCAAGTGACAGTCGTTCTAGTAGACCGTGGCTTTATCAGCATTTTGCTGAGAACATAGTACAACATGATAATGAGGGCGTTATTTGTAGATCCATGAACGTCATGAACCAGAAAATAAAAAGGGTATAAACCATAATGCTCTGCTACCAGTACGGACAGCTGATAAGAAACTGTCGTTGCCCACACGCAACTCTCTAGCTACAGCGACGTTCCTCCATCTACTGCAGAGTGTTAACTCTGGTACCCAACTCTGGGCTAGGTGAACCCCGGGAACTGCCTGGTTTTGAACACTGGCTATGGGCTGCAGCTGGATTTGGAAGCGAGTCTCCTATCTACTGTGCCAACGCAGCCCCTAACAAGTAAATCATTTACACATTGCTAGTCACATTTTATGTTTGGTCGAAACGTTTCATATATGCACATCTTTTCCATTTTCTCTATTGAACTTTGTAATCACATTTTGTTACAAATGCCTTCTTGCTTATTTCTTTTTTTTAAATATGTCGCTCTTTACTACCCCTTGGGCCTCTTGTATAATATAACACTTCATGTTTGTATGATTTCTTACTTCGTATTTCATGTTGACCTTGATTGTTTACAAGTTTTGTTTCTTGCCTGTTGAGTTTTTTAGTCACAGTTTGTATTGTAGTTGGTTAATACTTTGTTGATAAAGACTTTGTCAAAATGTTCAGTTGTTTTTGAAAGCGTCTTTTCCATTTCCACTGCCGAGCTTTAGTTATAGTTACCTGTAGGATTTCAAGCATGGTATCTATAACTTTTGTTGAATTTTATGTTCTGTAGTGTAACCTGCTATCACTCTACTTCATTCTATGATATGAGTGCCAATCAATAAATGCCTGATTGTTTATATATATATATATATATAAAACGTCTATGAGCGACACTGCCGTAGATCCTGTTGAGATTGAATTTGTTTGTCTTCTTCTTGACCTTGTTGTGACAACCATTGTGGTTTATTTTCCAGGGTTTCTTTGATATCCCAGTGGATAACTTGTACGCTGAGCCTGCAGTGTTGAAGTGGATCAAAGAAAACATCCCGGAATGGCGTAACTGTACTATTGTGTCACCAGATGCTGGTGGGGCCAAAAGGTAATATATGTTTCTTTCCTGTGTACGGTGTTTCATATCTGATCTTATTCAGTTATGTTCATGTCTGAGTGACCAGAAAAGATAAAATCAAAAATGAGACCTTAAGGAAAAAGGGGACCATCAGAGATAAAATCAGAAATGAAGTTTTAGAGCCGTGTGCAGGTGTTCAAAACATCAAATTTGGGTCAGGTCAAAATTTTTGGGAAAAGTTCATTTTTACACACCTTAATTAATGTGTCTTCTGTCAAATTCAGTATTTGTTTTTTTGTGTAAAATATGATATTTTAATGTAATATTAATATTTTATTGAGCTAACCGTAGCACGTGGTTGTTGAAATGTTTGACGGAATTATTGATATTTTGCACTTTGCAACGCTATTTGCACAAGATATAGTTGTATGTATCATTTACCGTTGCAGTCGGAATTATGTTCCCTGTATTGTTCAGCGGGATTTTGGATCATAGTATTTAAATTTTTCTATTCACCGCCGCTCCATTGACCCCTATAAAAGCCTGGAAACTTGCAAATATGGGTGTAAACATGACCTTGTTTATTACGGTTGATTCTCGCTATCTGAGACTGATCATGTGGGTATCCGATTCTCAAAGATGGCGGTATCCGATTCTCAAAGATGGCCGCTGTGAATCGAAAAATGCCTCATTCTGAGAGTTTTAAACTCCGCTTAGCCGATTAATGTAAGAAATCTCGCAGTCTACAATTGGCAAATGCTCATAAGCAGAGAAAGGTCTACCAGAGCATTGATAATGTTACAGAAAATTTAGAATGTGACGCATCTAACAGGCTTGTTCCTAGCGTGGCTTGAATTGTGGCAATCAAGGATTCTGTACCATCATGTTCTAGTTCTAGTTCTCAAAGTTTTGGGAGTGAAACTGTTCTTGCAGAAAAAAACAAGAAAACAGTTTAAGAGAGATATGTATGAATATATGACCTCCTCTAGAAGCATGTGTGTTTCTGCTGATGATCATCATCATAAACCACGTCTGCCGTTAAGCGCCGTGTGGAGGAATAATTTGCGATCCAGTGCACTTTGGCTGCCACTGGCTTTTGTCATGCAATGAAGGCGTAGAGTGTCTTTAATGTTGTCGATCCATATTTTCCTTGCCCATCCTCTTGCTCTTGTAGATGATCTTTAAGATGTAAGCTTGTTAATGTATTTGATCTTGCTGCATTCTAACAAGATGGCCAAACCACCTGATCTGCTGTTTCTCAATGAATCTAGTGCAAGGTGTCGTTCCCACAGTTTGCCTGATAGTTTTTTATTAACGCGATCTCGGATGGTTAGGTTGACTGCTTTTCTCAGGCACCTCATATTGCGGGTGGTGATTTTACGTATATGGGCTTTAGATAGTGTCCATGCTTGGCACTGGTAGCCTAATGTTGTAGTGGACATAAAAAAACTGGAGAACAGAGGAGTAGACTTTCCGAAATCATTAAAATGTTATGTTGTCCACTATGTAAAAATACTGGTCTTACTTTGAAAACTGACAGCAAGAAAACTCAAGGATTAGCTGTACATGCAGAAGTTTACTGCTCTTGTTGTGAAGAAGTAGTTTGTGGAAGGTACCTAGCTTCAATAAGTAATGATGGTGATAGATCTTTTGCCATCATTACAGTGTTTATTCTGCATTAGTTTGTGGAATGTGTGCCTTAGAGTCTAATAACTTTTGTGAAAATATAAACCTGCAAGGTCTTCATCTCAAAACATTTCACAATCAAGCAAATAAATATATGTATATAATAAAGTTTGAAGATCTGGAGGACATGGTTTTCACTCAAACCGGGAAATATGTTCGGCAAGTTCATGCACAACAGGCAGGCATCACTCTACATGATGATGATGTGCTGGATATTACTGTCAGCTTTGATGGCACTTGGCTGACCAGAGGCCACACATCCTACATTGGGATGTGCAGTGGGTGTCCTTGCAGGACTTTGCATAGATGTGCATCTTATGTCCACATATTGTCAGGTGTGTAAAACCACTGGTAAGAGAGTTTCCAAATCTAAACCAACTGAATTTGAAGCATCGAAGGCAGGCCATCTTCCAAACTGTTGATAATTTCACAGGTTCTGCTGGAGTGATGGAGGTGGAGGCTTCTTCTTCTTCTTTTTCTTGTTCTTCTTCTTCCTCCTCCTCGTCTTCTTTTTCTTAGCATTTACTGGCTGTAAACTCCCAACAGAAAGTTTGTTTTTTTATCTACTTTTAGAGAGTTTGGTCTTGTGCCAGAACTTAAGTTTTGCCTGCAAATCCATTTTCCAGATCTGACTTATTTGTATGCAGACTGTTGGTTCTTCACCTCTCAGACAAATGCACTCCAACATTGAAGAAAGCACGCCTTATTAATCACATTGTATGACATGCTTGTTAGGGAGGCAATGTGTTGCCTGTTCTCCCCCCCCTTCCCCAACATGGAATGAGACCCTGGAGCAGACAGCGATCTCTAGTAATAATTTACTTAATCTGTTTTCATAATAAAATTTAATATGGTTTTTTGACTGTCCTTGATTTTTCATCTTATCAGGGTAACAGCCATTGCCGATCACCTCAATGTGGAGTTTGCTCTTATTCACAAAGAAAGGAAAAAAGCGAATGAGGTAGCAGCTATGGTCCTGGTTGGGGACGTTAAAGACAAAATTGCCATTTTGGTTGATGATATGGCTGACACATGTGGCACCATATGCCACGCTGCAGACAAGTAAGTGAGAAAATAAAATTTAGCTTTGACTTACTGACCTTTTGACACCTTTCAGTCTTTCCACATGACAGTGTTATTAATTTCACGGCAACACTGTTCAATTCACGATTGAATTGTTTACAGAAATTTCTGTGGATCATCACCAGAGCTACAGAATTTGTGCTTTGTGCAACCCTCTAAACAGATGGTTATGTGAAGAGGGTCCAATGTATGTGGAATCAAACTTGGTGCAATTAAATTGACTTTCTCAACTAACTTCATTGTTATATTGAGCTCTAGGAGAGCCTGTGGGAATTCCAGCCCATGACGATTGCCTGTGTAAATAACAAGAGGGCCATGGAGGAGGACCATTGCATGTATTTAACAGTTTTTCCCAAGACATTTAGCCTTTGACCCTATCTGCAATCATTGTTAGTTGGTTAATCGCCAGATTATCCTTACTGCATGTCAGGCAAGTCCAGTAGTGTTTGGATCCCATCTTAAATATATCCCTCAGCATGTGGAAACTGATAATACTAGTTCTATGTTGGTTTACTATTCTTCTTTGGTTAACCATGCAGTGTTCATGTTTGGCAAAACCTCTTTTGACACAAAGTTCTTGTAGTTTTTTTTGAGTTGCTGATTGAACCTCATCTCCTGAATCATCCTCTAGTATTGCCTTCTTGAAAGCATTGATGAATGTCGGCTCGGTCTATTGCTTTTCCCATACCTACTATGACCCTGCCAGCCCACTTGCCCATTTCACTCTTATCCCAGAGCTTGGCACAAAGATGAAACTAATCTGCAGTCATTGTTTTCCTAATCCCCTGTTCCCTTTCTGATGTTTGCCCTGCGTGACTTGATTGATAACTTTGTATTTAGTCGTTTCATATCAGGGATTCCCAGACTTTTTGGGACTATGGACCCCACCAAAAACAGCCAACAAATGTTGGAGTCGGTTTTTGACATCCTGTAAAGGAAATGTAACCAACTGTGGGGGGTTTTCAGATTGCTATAGATTTTACCCCTTCACTGGCTTGAAAAAAAATCAAGACAGAGCGAGCTCTGCTCCATTTTGGTGCATGTTAAAAGTTGGATGGCCACCTTTGAACTGTCATTACGGCATTACATATTTATCTGCACTGTGATGTCATGGGCTTAACAATCTTGACATCCTTGGCAACAATATTGACAGTTTACAAGACAATGCCATGGTTACTGAAATTTATGTCGCACTTTTAAGGTTTTCATGTGAAGCCCTGTCATATGGTATTACTTAAGCTTGTTTAGACTCGAATGTGAATGGGTTTTGTATTTTAGCCAGCTATTATGGTCTTATACTAGAAAGCTTTCATAACAGTGAACCCTAAAGTTATATCTTAATTTTTGCAGGTTGTTAGAAGCCGGAGCCTTGAAAGTCTATGCCATCTGCACCCACGGTATCTTCTCCGGACCAGCAATCTCTCGTATAAACAACTCTAAGTTTGAGGCGGTGGTGGTAACCAACACAATCCCACAGGACCAGCGGATGAAAGAGGCACCCAAGATACAGGTAAGAGACTTAGATTATTGAGAACATTAGCTTTGTTTAAATCTTCTTTCATTTGCACACATTTGCTGGGTGGGGGACCATTTCATCACTAGTTTATATTTATCTTTTTACCCTTAGAATGTTTGTTTGTAATTTTAAGGTATACTATGGGAGAAACATAGAAGGTGTGAAGATTTTGTGTTTGTGATAGAAGAGCATAGGAAAAGAGTAACATATTTTGCTTCTTTGCATTTACCGGCTGTAAATCCGGCAGAAAGATCTGATCTGATTACTTATCCACTTCTGGACTCTTGCCCTGCCCTAGAACAATATCATTGCATGCACACCCGTTTTACAGATCGTGACTCATTTGTGTGCAGACTGTTGGTTCCTTGCCTGTCAGACAGATGCACTCTGACTTTAAAGGAAGCTCTCAATTAGTCAATTCTTAGATATACTTTTGGGAAATTTTTCTTCCACATTTGACATTAACCTTACCAACCATCGAGTTTCCATCTGGGTCACAATGAACAATATGTCCTTCATCCATGTCATGTAGTTCCTTTGGCCCAGATCCTCAATCTCTGGTGGGATTAGTTAGAGCAATCCTGCTCATAAGTCTATCTGCTAACGAACCACAAGTGGCAGATTCTTTTATGCCTACTTTAAGACTGCATTGTCCTGTGTGAAGCCTTAATACTGTTGTTTTTTCTTTTCTGTTGAGGAATACATATTTTAGCCTTATTGTTTAATTAAAAAGAGCACACACGCACACACACCTGCAGTCCTTTTTCTCTGGTTTTTGTCATTGTCCATAATTAACACCATATGTAATAAGATGGCCTGTATATAACACTTGTTAATTTCCAATGACATGTTTTGTTTTTTTACTAACAATGCTTCTCAATTTATGGAATGCAGTTTTGGCTTGACTTATCCGTATCTTTATGGTGATGCATTTTGTTGGTTGGTTGTCTCATAAATTTGGAGTCATAAGTTCGCATTCCCAAGTAGACCAATTTTCAGAAACACACATGGGGATACTCGTAGGTGACTCTGGCATAGTTCTAACAGCATGCTCTTAGCAGCGTTTGACTGAAGGAATTTAAAAAAAAAAACAGACTCTAATTTTTTCTGATTGAAAGTAGGCCAGGTAGAGTTTACTGTATAAATAAAGAAGCAGAGGTTTTGGCGTTTAATGGCTTCATTATATTGTAAAATAAACTGCTGCACGGCCAGCAGAGGCAAGGAACCATCAGTCTGCACACAAATAAGCCAGTAAATGGAGAACTTTCTTTCACAAACCAGTCAACCAGTTGATAATTGGCTTCTGCCTGAGTTTTATTATTAGTTATTGTTGGAAGCCACTGGGTTGACTCGTAGTCAGAGTGCACCTCCTGTACAAGCAAGGAACCAACAGTCTGCTCACAAATAAGCCAGATCTGTAAAGTAGATAAACATGCAAAGTCCAAATCTTGGAACAAGACAAAAAAAATCCAGATGGGAATGAACAACAAGAGTTTCTGTCAAAGTTTTATTTAGTGAATGAGAAAAAGAAAATAGTGATTGGAGAAAATTCACAAACCAATCAGCTGTTTTTAATTGTCTTCTGCCTGGAATTTTATTAGTAGTCGCTTTTGGAAGCCTTGCTATACAGGGTCTGTTTAAAAAGTGTGCGACCTGAATGTTTCCCACAGAACGAAATTAAGTGTGAGAGGTGATCTCTGGCTGGATGGAGGTTAGGGACTTTCCTGCTTGTACATGAGTTTTGTTTCTCCTGTGATTGAACAGTGTGTGGGTTGTTGGCACCTTTCTGTATTTCCAGACGTTCAGTATGATATTGTGCTGGGGGGGGGGGGGGATGGCAGGTGTGACTGGCAGGACTCACTCACATAAAGGAAAGTTATCCACAATTAGAGCATGTGATATCAGGAGCGTTGTCGACATTACATGTATTTAGTGTACCTCTCCCAGATGCCCAACCCCCCAACCTTTCTGCACTCATATATCCCTATTTCCTTTTTGCTTTCCTTAAACACCTGCTAGATTTTCACCTGCATGAAACAACTTGAGCACAGTGTATGCACCATAAAGACAAAACATGATTTTGTTCAGTGCAAAAGGAAGAGAAAGCAATCTCTTATTAGTGTGAGCTTTGCAGGTCTCTGACAATACCGTACATACATTTAGTTTGTGAGTCTCCACACTATCCCAGCATGGCTGCTTGAGATTTGTAGCTGTTCCTCAGACTGAAAGTGCAGCTTAAAAGGAACAAATTTTAGCCACAAGAAATGTGGATTGCCATAGCCAAGCCGTATTTCATTTCCGAACAAAAAATTAATTTAAATGCTTTTTAAATGTTCTACTTGGACACAAGTGCATACAGTCAGAAGGAGACTACTTTGAATAGGTTTAGAGTTTTCACCCTCTAGAGAATTGTTAATTGTGATTTTCCCGGTAACAGGTTGGACATTTTTTTTAACAGACCTTGTAACTTGCTTTAGCTCACATATCAACCCAGAAACTGATGCATGACTACTGCTAAATATGTCCGATGTGGCTGAAACGCTGTATATAGAAGCCTTGCTATATTTTAGCAATTAAACTAATTCGTATTCAAGCTTTATTTGAACTTCTGCATGTTTGAAATGGCGTGTTAAATAACATTCTTCAGTCAGGCAGCTGTATTTTTGTGTCAGACACAAGAATGTGGCTACGGTTTCCGTTTTCATGACGCATGCTGGACACTTCATTCTTGAACTTGTTTAACATAGGTAGGTATTAATTTATTTTTGTTTCCTCACATTTTTATGTTGTTCATTTGTTCTTTTGTATTTTTGCTTGCATAAAAGAATGTTGATTTTTTCATACACTTTACTATCCCATTGTTGTAGAATGTTGGTTTCATGCTGCACTTTAATATCGTGTTGTGATGAACATTGATTTCCTGCTAACCATTATTATCTTGTTATTGCTTTCTTCAATTATTATAATATATAACACATATTGTTGTTTGGTTAGATAGTTGTGCATTAGTTTAGTTAATCCTCTTTGACTCCACAACTATGTTGATCTAAAGTAAATGTGGCATTGACAATGACAATTGTTAGAATGACATAGATATTTATTATTTAACCCATCACAGACTAGGGTTTGGAGCAGGAGCTCAGTTGATGCACGGAGAGAGCGCTCACAGCAGATAAAAAAGAGTAACGATGATGTCTTGAAAGACTCACAAGGGGAACTGGTTGCCCACATCAGAAGGAGACAACCTGCATTCTTTGGTTATGTAATAAGAAGGAGAAAACTGGAGCGCATCATGATAGTGGGAAAGTTGGAGCTGAAAAGAGGCAGAAGGAGACAGAGAGAAAAGATGCTGGACAGTTGACATCATGGCAAGGAAGATCATTTGTGTCAGAACTGATTAAGAGTATGAGACAGCAGGTTGTGGATAGACACAACAATTTATCCCACACGGCATGGACAAGAAAAAAGACTTTTTTAATTAATAATCAAGTTTGAAACCAGTTTTAGGGAATGTGTGAGATTTTTTTTACCTTCAAGAGCAGTCATCAGCCATTAACATCATCTGCAGGGAGAGACTGAGTTACTCCCTTTTCTGCCAGAAGAGACTGGGAGAGACTGATTTACTTGCTGATCTGCTGAGAAAATCAGCAACCACAACTATTTGCTTGAAAAGACTGTCAGTCACTGATCTGGGAAAGATTGAGGCACTCACTCTTCTGCTTGGAAAGACTGAGTCATTCAGCTGCTTGGAGAGACAGTCAGTCAGCCACCTAAACTTAATTTGCTGGAAGGAATGGGTCACTCACTCACCTGCAGGGAGAGACTGAATCAGAGAAACCATAAATTTCATCTGCTGAGAGAGACTGAGCCACTCATTCATATGTTGAGAGACTGAAACACTCATCTGCTGTGAGAGACTCACTGACTTATCTGCTTAGAGAAATTGAGACACTCATCTGCTGGGAGAGACTGGGACACTCATCTGCTGGGAGAGACTGGGACACTCATCTGCTGGGAGAGACTGGGACACTCACTCATCTGCTGGGAGAGACTGGGACACTCACTTATCTGCTGGGAGAGACTGAGACACTCACTTAACTGCTGGGAGAGACTGAGACACTCACTTATCTGCTGGGAGAGACTGGGACACTCACTCATCTGCTGGGAGAGACTGGGACACTCACTCATCTGCTGGGAGAGACTGGGACACTCACTCATCTGCTAGGAGAGACTCAGCCAGTTAAGAGCGATAAACTTTACCTGCTGGAAGGTTTTCAAGAGATAGAATAAAAATGTAGTTCTTGAAATCAAAAATGAGGAAAGGGAAATACTTTGGCGACATGGAAAGGAAAACTCCTACTAGAGAGAAAAGTTTAAAGCAGGCGAGCAAGAGATAGACATCAATATCGTTTGGAGGATAGCACTAAAAGATGGATGAACAGCAGTCTGAGAGTTTACATCCATAGCAAGAAACAATATTGTAGTTCCATTGAAGCCAACCTTGATTGTGAATCTCACTTGATTGATAGAACTATATGTATTGTTATTTTGTTTTATTCAGTTTCTTGAGGTCTGATTTCTGCACCTCCTTTCTTTTATCTGTTTCAGACTGTTGACATATCAATAATTCTGGCCGAGGCCGTCAGGAGGACACACAATGGAGAATCAGTGTCGTATCTATTTGGTCATGTACCCATTTGATGTCTTCAGCTTATGAGATCCCATTTGCTCACTTGAGATATCAGCTGCAAGAAAGACAACTGCTTTTTATTTATCTGCAGTATTTTGTATTGTTATTGATAGGATGCTTGTATGGTTATAATTAACTAGTCTAATGATGATAAATCGACAAAAGAGAAGAAGCTTAGTAAAAGACGCAAGAGTAATTCCTAACATCTCTTTAAATACAGACCATCGACCGCTGATTGTATATCTAAGCGAAGCAACAATTAACAAAAAACCAAAAACATCAGTACGTACCTCAATGATTGACATAAGACACCTAAGCAATCTAGACAACCAAGCAAAAGTACAGGCAGAAATGACGGTGAAGATGGCTGAGCTAACATCAAGTGACAATGGGGAAGCTGCGTGGCAAAAATTTAAGAACACTCTTCTGAACTGCCTAACAACACTCTGTGGTATTAGATACACAGGAGGAACGTTCAGGAAAAAAACAGCATGGTGGAATGATAACGTAAAACAAGCAGTGAAATGTAAAAAGGATCAATACAAGAAATGGCTAAGATCCCGCTCAGATGACGATAATATCAAGTACAGAATTGCCAGGCGACAATCTGCAAGAGAAATTAAACAATCCAAGGAAACATCCTGGATCATGTATGGGGGAAATCTTACCAAAATCTGTGCTAAATCTAGTAGACAGTTTTACAAAACTATTGCAAAAATGAGAACTAGAGATGAACCATTCCAGCCATCTGAATATGTCAATGATAGTCAAGGCAAACCCATACATGAGGAGGGCAAGATCAGAGAAAGGTGGAAAGAATATTTTCAGACTCTTCTGAATGTAACAGGAAATGAGGAAACAGTACCATTCACACCCAGATGTACAAACGAGGAACAGCCTACAATAATCGAACAAGAAGTCAGAGAAGCAATCAGATGCAGTCCCAAAAATAAGGCATCAGGTGTTGATTGAATATCAGCCGAGGCAATACAGGCTTGTGGAGAAATTGGAGTCACCTGGCTACTCCACATATTTAGGAAAGCCTGGAATGAAAGAACTGTACCAATAGACTGGCAAGGAGCCCTTATAGTCCCAATTTGGAAAAGAAAAGGCAATAAGCAAGATTGTAACAATTACAGAGGCATCTCCCTTCTAAGCCACGTAGGAAAAATGTTTGCCAAAATTCTGGAACAACGAATTAGATTCGTTGTAGAACCGATCCTGAGCCCATCACAGGTCGAATTTAGGAAAGGAAGAGGGTGTACTGACGCTATTTTTGCTTTAAGACAAGTTAGAGAAAAGACAATAGAACACAGACATCAAATGAACATCGCTTTCATAGATCAAGAAAAGCTTTCGATAGAGTAAACATAAACTTATTATGGAAAGTTCTTGAAAGCTACGGTATAAATGGAACAATTTTAGATTGTGTTAGGGCTATTTATAGACAAAGTGAAAGCGCCATAAGAACAAGAGCTGGCATCACAGACTGATTCCCAGTAACATCAGGAGTAAGACAAGGTTGTGTATTATCACCTTTGCTTTTCATAATATTTATGGACAATATTAATAAAATAGACATAACACCAACAGATGTTGATAAACAGGAGGACTTTAATGAGCTGCTCTTTGCCGACGATCAATGCATATTTCACAGTGATAGTAAACAGCTGCAAGACCACATAAACCTACTACACGACAGTTGCCTCAAGCATCATATGAAGATCAAAACTGAAAAGACAGAAGTCATGAGCATAAGTAGAGAGCAACAGACCATCGACATAAAGATTCTAGATCACAGCCTAAAACAAGTGCAAGAATTTAAATACTTGGGAAGTATCTTTACATCCAATGGTAAAATAGACAGAGAGATCGAAGCAAGAATCCAACAAGCCAACAATGTCGCATACCAGCTTGCCCCAATTTTAAAACACCCTGCTGTCCCAGTTGAGATAAAAAGACAAATTATAAATACAATCTTTATACCGACATTAGGTTATCAATGTCAGACTTGGACATTAACAAATGAACACGAGAGAAGACTAACCACCTGTGAAATGAGATGTTTGAGAATGGCTGCGAATAAAACCAGAAGAGATCGAGTGAGAAACGATGTGATTACAAGAACTATTGGAACCATACCCATCGTTAAATTTATTGAGAAGCAAAGAATGAAATGGTTTGGTCACCTAATGAGAATGGAACCAACGATGCCAGCATCAAGAGCATACAACATGAAAATCGAAACACCAAGAGGCAGGGGAAGACCAAGAAATACATGGATTGAAGGAGTCACGGACAACTTGAGACTTCATAACATCACGGCATATGAAACGACTGGCTCGGTTGCCGATCATCTGATAGACTGCGACGCCTAGCGGCACAAGCAGATTTTGACAAAAGAAGAAGAATGAAGAATGTAGACATCAGTCTCTCTCAGCAGATGTAGACATCCTGTAGTTTGCATTTAGCTAATTTTATGATGTTATTGGGCAAGTTCCACCCTTTAGATCTTGTTTAGTTGTTTGTCTTGAATTATTTTCAAGTGTTTGCTTCTTTGTATTCATTGGCTGGTGGAAAGTCAGTTGTTCAGCTTCTTCTGGACTTTGGTTGGGTTTCATGACCACATGTTTGCCTGCACATCTTTTGTGGACAGATCAGGCTTATTGGTGTTCCGTCTGTTAGTTTCTAGCCTCAATAAATCTATACTAGCCAGGCTGCAGGGTGGGAACTTCTTCTTAGGATGACCGTGGTGAGGTTTAGATAGCCCTTGACCAGTATCAGCCCTGTTCCTGGTGCATCCTTGACCAGTATCAGCCCTGTTCCTGGTGCATCCTTGACCAGTATCAGCCCTGTTCCTGGTGCATCCTTGACCAGTATCAGCCCTGTTCCTGGTGCATCCTTGACCAGTATCAGCCCTGTTCCTGGTGCATCCTTGACCAGTATCAGCCCGGTTCCTGGTGCATGGTTATGTGTGGTTCACCACCTCTGCATCCTTTTCAAATTTTCAAATGTTAGGTTTATACTTCTGTGTTTTCTGAATGTTATTAACATCTTGTTGGTATACTTGAATGTTAAAAGTCATCAGTGCTGTTGTCTGGTTGGCTCTTTCCCAGTAATCCTTGTGAGACAATTAGCTATGGCCTTAAAGATTTCCTTCAAAGAAAAAAAAGCCTTTTTTACAGTTTGCCAGTACAGTAAATCTTTAAAAAACCTTTCACTGACAATTTTAGATTTAAAATAATTGACGGGGACTCGTCAATAAATACAAATCGAGAGGAGAATTTGATTTATAAAACAAAGAATATATGGTGTCTCATATTTGACTTATGACCTCATCGCTATGCAATTAATTTGTGCGGAAAATTGTTCCCTATTAAAGAAAATGTTGGTGAGGCTAGATGAAAAGAGACATTAAATTTAAAATTGTTCTCTGTTGTTAATAGAAATGTTGGTGACTGAGGCTCGGCACAAAGAAACATTGGGCACAATGGCATGAAGTAACATCAAATTCAGAAATGAGTTGCAGTATGTTAGTCAGATCTGAAGACAGATGTCTTCTTTCTTCTTTGCGTTCACCAGCTGTAAACTCTGGTGGAAGGAAAGTTCTGGTTGTTTGTCCACTTCTGAACTGCAGCCCTGTTCCAGAACCTGAGTGTTGCGTGTGCATCCGTTTGACAGATCTGACACATCTGTGTGCAGACTGTTGGTTCCTTGCCTCTCAGGCAGATGCACTCCAACTTCGAAGGAAGCCTCCAATCAGTCGACTCTTACGACATGCTTTTGGGTGGGCAGTGGGTCTATTCTTGTTTTCCCTATAATAGGGCCCCAGAACCCACACGGGGGTGAAGACAGATATGATGGCCAGCACAGCTAGACAAGGAAAATATGATACTTGTTCCGCCCTTACATAAGACTGAAAACTAAAAATGAACCTAACAGTGCTGGCAGCTGGGCAGAAACATGAAAATACAAGGTATAACCACCAAAAGGCATTAATCCAATGAACAGTGCCTGAAAAGCTTAACAAAATGGGGAAGCAAAATAACGTGCACAAAACAACACTCTAAACACTAAAAGGTCACATGAGAAACTATTTTAAAAAAGGTGATGTGGAATGGATGAAATAAAACAAAGGAAGGCTAAAAGAATATTTGTTAAAAAAGTAAATGTGATAATATATAATATAATAGTAGGAATAAAATAGTAGAAATACAAATGTTTATGATCCATAAATGGTACTGATGGTACTGATAAGACATAGAATAAAGTAATAATATGAAATAAAATAAGATAAGCATACAAATAATACAGTGAACTAGAAAAAGACTTTAGATGAAGGCATGCTGGACACTGATGCCTCCTGGACTAAGAATACCTAGACTGAATGAGGCCATTTTCCAAAGAGTGGCACGTGGTGTTATTGCCAGAGCAAGATTTTAACGCTGTTACAGATATATCATCTTTGCCTGTGTGGTCAAGGATTGGTTTAAGTGTCTTCTGGTCTATATTGGAGAGATGTTCCCGGAACCGATCAGCTAACTTCCTGCCATTTTGCAGATTTTGGCATAAATTACATTGCAAGATTTACAAGTAAATGGTTCTCTAATATAGAAAGGTTTAAGTTTAAACAACGAATCAGCATCATGTCACATGGGGTAGTAACCCATAAGTGCTCCGTTATACTTCTAACTCAAGTCTAAGTCCGAAGAATCTCAGCGCAGTGCACAAACTCTGTAGCACTGGCTAGGATCCTAGAATACTTTATGGTTAGATTTTAAACTCCATATTTTGCCCTGGCAGCGCCGCTAGGCTACTTTTTTTGATTTTATATGCCAGGGGATTTTTTACGTGGAAAGAAATTGGGGAAACGACCGAGATTGGCAGTTGTCTTGTGACTGGCAGTCTTCTTACTTCTCGAAGAGCGTTTGCTATATAAACCTGGTCCATTGCAAGGGCTATTTTCCACAGCATATCAGTGTATTCATTTGCACTATTATCCACATGACCT